TCTGAAAAATGAATATACAGCTGAAATTGTGCTTATTAAATTGGAAAGTAAGATTAAATATTTAAACATCTTTTAAGCAATTGGTGCAATATCTTATCTTAGAATTTTTTCGAAACATCAATCATATGCTTTTAGGTAGTTCAAAAATGTTTTATTTGAAACTTATGTGATCTTAAACCAATTTTTGCAATCAGTCACAGGCCGACTGTCACATATGCATTAAGAACTAACTGCAATTTGTTGTGACATGACATAAGAAGCCTCTTATAGTCATTATAGATGGTCCATTATTATATGTGAAGTAGAAACTTCCTCCTTAATATGCGAATTAAATGAATCACAATGATGCTCACCTCTTCAACCTATTCTCTGTGTATAAGAATCAGCACTCTATATCCTTCTAAATTTCTATTATATATGCAACAAATAGTGTGAATAGTAAAGCTTAACAGCCATTGCAGTCTTAGTTTATTTTGGTTATTGGACATTTATTTGATTCAGATCTTCATGAGATGTTTAAACTTCTTCAGCCTATAATTGAAAGTTAAATCCACAACAGCCATCATGGAACGTTCAATGTGCTCCTTGCCTATTAAAGACAATTTGTCCTACCCCATCATGGAAAGTTTTAGCCCATCATGGAAAGTTTGTCCTACCAAATAATGGAAATTTGAAGATGACCCTGCCCAAGAAGGAAAGTTCAAAATGCCTTAGTCCATCGAAATTTCAAAAAAGGCAACAGCCCATCAATGGTAGTTCCAAATGCCGTAAACAGATTGTGGAAAGGATATTTTCTTTGAAATGCAGAGTAGATTGAGCAGAGGAAATTTTGCAATTATTTAAGATTATTATGTCCAAAATCATATTTTTTTCAATGACATGATCAGTGGAGGATTGATAAAGGAGTTTTTTTTTCTCAACAGAAGAGTTTTCAAATTTGCAAACTCTGGGAGAATATTCTTCACCACCAACTGATGATCCACCTCCATATTCACCTGTTAACAATGGAACAACAATTACATTCCAACCCAGAGTTGTTGAAGTTCTTCGAAATTTAAGAGAATCACCAGTACATACAATATGTCCGCATTGTCAAGCTGAGATTATAACAGCTACTTTTTATGAACCAGGAACTTTGGTCTGGATCAGTGCAGGTGTTCTCTGTTGTTTGGGGTAGGTGTCTTATTTTCTGCTACACTATATAGATATTCTGATCATTAAATCATTGGAACATAAATCAGTAAAGAGATTTATCCTTTGGTCCTTTATTTTTATAATAGTTCATTTACATGGAAAACTGAACAACACAAGAAAACCTAATTGAATTTGAATTGTTCTTTATATATTTTAGGCTAGACTTTGGATGTTGTTTAATACCATTTTGTGTTGATGACTGTAAAGATGTTATACATACTTGTCCTAATTGTCGTCAGGCTATATACAGATACACAAGGATATAACTACCATAGTTTGATAAGCTTATATTTGTTACTCTATTCATGTTTTGTTACATTTTTTACTGTTTGTTTTATGAAGTTGATTAAAATTCTTTCGTTGATTTTTGTTGTTGTTGTTTTTTCTAAGTTTGGATTTTTCAAAAACCTCTACTGGTAATTGACAATGAGTGATTGTTCATCAGAATCTTAATTTTAATTTATGAAGGAAATATAATTGATGTTAAGGCTTTTTAAAAGAGATTATTATTAATAAATTTGAACTATATCTTGTTCTTTTACATCATTATAGTTTTATGGAAATGTATTTAATGCAATTTTAGATTACAAATTTATCTTAGAATTTCTCTTATCTTATCTTTATTCTTTGACAATTTTTAATAATCTGTCATCAATTGGCATGGGGGAACACACAGCCAATAGGCATCCAAAGATTGACATATAGGAAGCAAGCAAACCGTCTTCATTTGCCCACATGGTGCAGAAAAGAAGGACGTAAAACTCCATTCATTTCATTTCCTAATAAGAAAAGGAAATAGATACTCTTATGTTTGACAGACATATTGTGTAGGTTTACAGTTGTATAAACCATAAATAGTATCATTCGTGTATGCACCAAAATACATGCATCAGTTGATTGTTACTATTATTAACCACAAATAAAAGTTTAGAACAAGGAGGTACTCTACTAATTCTCTACAGTTGGAGGTAAATCAGTCAATGTGTGGGGAATTATTATATAACAATGTCACCTTGAATTGAGTAAAGAAGTAAATGGTTAATCTTGCTTCCTTGATATTGTAAAAGAAGCAATGGAAATAGATGCCCTGTGATGCATCTGTTGTGTAAACATTATATCTAGTTCCAACTAATATCTGTACCCTGCTTTTATAATTATAATCTTACGAAGTGTTTTTGGAATTATCCTGCAATTTCAAGATTATGTTTTTGTAATGAAAAAAAATATCTAAATAGCATGGTTTCAGAGGTATTTTCTCACCCATTTGTTACCAATTTACCATATGCTTATAATAACCTGTATATCCTCCACCCATATTACCCAATTGTTTATCCGTTTTCAACTCTGGCACAGATATTGACAGTATTGATTTTGGCACCCATATATGATAGTTGAATGCTTAAGCTATCATATGATCTTCTCTACAAGGTATATGTTAATTTTTTCATTTTGTTGATTCTTTTCTGTGGTATTTATTATTATTTAGTATTTACATTTAGTATTACTTATTATTTGCTAATGTTTGCTTTTTGCATGTAAATGGATAGCTTTTTAATCAATTTTTTATATAGAACTATAATACTCTTAAAAAAAAAACGGTTTTAGACAACTATACTTAGTTTGATATTGTTTCAGAATATGGACCACCACCTGCTCAAGGCTTTGTTCCACCACCTGCTCAAGGCTTTGCACAACCACCCCCACCTGGTGCTTGGGGTCCACCTCCACAAGGTTATCCTGTTCCTCAACATGGATATATACCACCACATGGTCAATATGGACAGTCTACAGTGGTAGTTACGCAACCAACTATGACTGTGATTCAACAGTTCAGAGAATCACCAGTACATACAAAATGTCCACATTGTCAAGCTGAGATAGTGACAGCTACTCAATATGAGACTGGAACATTAACTTGGATAATTTGTGTTGTCCTTTGCCTTGTTGGGTAAGTTTAAACTTTTTGTCCAGAAATTTTTTTTGATGTACATCATATACCTGCATTGCTTTCTCACATGACAATTAAATTGATAATGCCCAATATTTGTTTATAGATAGATTCAAGATTTAACAATCACAAGTTTGACTTAATTTCTGACTGCATAATGCAGAATATTAAAATTACCAGAAGGCCTGGCCACATATGCTAAATGTATTCTTCAATTACATGTATGTAGGAGCAATAATAAAAACAACAGATGCCGGTCTGTTGGTTATGAGATGAACTTGCTTGAACTTTCCCTGTCTTTCATGGAAAGTTAGAACTGTCTCGGTCGTTAATGACATATCAGTATTTACCAAGTGTAAGCTTATAGTGCAACCAAGATCTGTTCATCTTGAAACATATGAACAGCTCCTTCACCCTTCATGCAAATCAAACTGTTTCTGTTTTTTATGTGATATATTTTGGTTCAAAGTATAAAATGACTTGCCTATCAATCAATTAAGTATAAAAGTTTCAGTAAATTGGGGGTATAATTGTTGAATATTGTAACATTTCAGATGTGATTTTGGATGTTGTCTGATTCCATTTTGTGTTGACGGCTGTAAAGATGTGATCCACAGTTGTCCTAACTGTCGTCAAACCATTTCAAGATACAGTAGAATGTAGAAGATGTCACCAATATTTTACAAAAAACTTTCTTATTTGCTTTTTTAGGAGCTATTTGATTCTTAAAGGGATTGTAAAGAGGTTTTCTTAACTTTTTAGGTGCTTTTAGAACAAAGGTACCATTGACTTGAATCATTTTAATTTTCAGTTAGACATCTGTGGGTCTTGCAATTCCACTAAAACTTAGCAAAGACTTTGCAAAGGCTCTTACATGTCATAAGCAGCATTTGTGATAGTCACTTTATAAAACCCCAAGATTTAGTGGAATTGAAAGAACCACATGTCTGACTGAAAACTGAATTGGTCTAAAATGATGCTAAAAAGATTAGAAAACCGCTTTACAAAATCTGTATAAGGACATATAGTATAACTTCATAAGATCTTTAACTGTTTTTGAAATATGCATGTATATTGCTGTAAAAATTTTTGTATTATTTCTTTCTGGTTCAGATTTGTGCCTCTTCATTTAAGGAATGATGATGGAAGATTTTTGTATAATCAATCCTTTATGTTTGATGATTTTGTCATGTTCATTTGAAAGTAATATTCTAAAAATTCTTCATAATGCTTTGATTTATTTACTACAAAATGTATGCAAATATAGTGACAATCAAAAAGTAGATATACAGTTTGCCAAGCTTCATTTTGTACTTAAATGCCCACTTAGTCCCATATAAGTCCTGCTAAGTTTTGTTTGCATAACAGCTTGTTTGTTGATGTTATAGAAAATCTAGTTCTGATTTAAAATCTTTTACCGTCCTATATATTTTTTCTCTTAGTCAGTAGTTTATGGCTGAAAATGGCATGATCTGAACCTTTTTTGTGTATATTTACTTACTTTAAGGCAGAGAATCAAGGTGAGGGTGTATATGGTCATGCCTAAGGTGAACTTATAGCTTTTAGAGCTGATATCAAAAAGACTTTCTGATGGCACAATATTACAATTAGGGTTCTGTTTATGTATAATCACAAAGTATTATTTTCTGTCTCAATAAACATGTTCAAACAATGAATGGATGAATCCTTTTTAATTTAGAGTTTATGAGATACATTCCGTGAAATAGGATATGATGTTTTTGTGTCCAATTGAATTAGAATGCTAGAAATTTAAGCCAAGTCCTACTTTGGTAATTCATTAAGTTTTTGACGTCATGTTATCTACTTTCTACATGTTTGATTCATCTCATCAATTTAGCCGGTGTTGAATAACAATGATTAAGATTTAGTTCAAATGGCAGATTTTGGAAAACATTATATTTGGAGTAATTCTTCTTTTATCTGTTCATTATATTCTGATGTTTTTGTTCATTGTTTTATAATGTACTTTGATTTCAGTATTATTAAAAAAACAGTAAAAAATTGATAAAGTTCAGCTGGGATTACACTGGGAAATCATTTGATCTTTTTCTTTTTATATAAACTTTCATAGAAAAGAAATCTGCAAATAGACATCTTATGGCATTCCCTGTACACATGAGGCTTGGAGAAAAGTGTAAGCTGCATGATACCAGTTATTATGCCACAGTCTCATTTTGCAGTTGACCATACCTATTGTTCACAAATAAACTCTGACCTGTAAGCTGTAGTAATATCTCATATATAACTGGTCACAAAAAAGATAATCGGTGTCATAATTTCATTGGTTTATCATTTACAATTTTGCTTAAAATTTGATTAATTTATGATATTTTAATATGCTTGAATTATTTGACTCAATTAATTTTAGAAATGTAGTTCTTATATTGACAAGTTCATGCCTACTATGTAATGCTACTAATACAAATGATGTTTTATTATTTTCATTGATTTTCATGTAATTATAATGCTCATTTTAATTTCTTTAAATTAAATATAAATCTTGACATAACTTTGTATTTACTTTGGATTATAAAATAATTGTGAAGGATACAAGCACTTGATGGAACTTTTAAAATATGAATAAGACAGGTTTTATTGTGTCCTTTCGAGGTAAAACTAGACGGAACAATACATCATTTTGTCTTTTTACCAATTTTTTCACTCTTTTTATTTGTTATAATGGCCAATGTGCCCAACACAGCATTCTGTAGCTATGAGTAACTATTTTGTATTTGTGGAGGTGGGATACCAGAATCAATCCGGAGGGATTGCAATTGCCTATTTTGTTTTTTTATTGTCTTGTCTAAATTGCTTCCAATCCTTGTTCAAACATAGATTGAATTAGGGGGCCACAGCATCCTGAACTCCTCTCACATTGACAGAAAATCTATCATTTTAGTTATGCCACACAGCAGTTTTAATGGTATAAACGAATCTTCAAAGTCATTGAAATTAAAATATTTTGTTTGTGTGTGGAATATTCACATCAATTTATCTATCATTTGTTTCTCAATTTCAGCTATCTAACACTTTTCAGAAATAAAATAGGTTTGATTCTTCTTAAATTGAACAAAACATGATATCACCTAAGACTTTAAGGGAGTTATTAACATTCTCATGAGCATTTATTACTAATATTATGACATATGTCATAATTGCCTCGGAAATTGTCAGCTGGTAAATAAGATTTTTAGGCAACAATGAATCTCCTTATTACTACCTACAGTCATCAACTTAAACATTCAAATCAGTCACAGGAAAAACAATTCTTCTCAAGCAGTTATTAGCTCATTTGAGACATTCTAAAGAGTCTGTTTAGTAGATCTGCATGTCTCATGATGTGACATACACTTCTGGAATTTACAACAACAAATTTATGCAGTTGGCAGTGGAATTTATTGATCTTAAAATGATGCATTGTTTAATTCTTAAATATTTTGTCTTTTAGCTCAATCTGGATATCCTCCTCAAGGCGGATACCCACCACAAGGCGGATACCCACCACAAGGCGGATACCCACCACAAGGCTATGGACCACCTCAGGGTTACGGTCAACAACAAAACTATGGAAATACGGTAGTGGTTACCCAACCAACTATGACTGTGATTCAACAGTTCAGAGAATCACCAGTACATACAAAATGTCCACATTGTCAAGCTGAGATAGTGACAGCTACTCATTATGAGACTGGAACTCTGGCTTGGATAATTTGCGTTGTTCTGTGCTTTGTTGGGTAAGTTATTTTAAATTTAAAGTTATATTTTGAATTATGAAGAAGTTAACCAACCTGGTGAAATTATTAATTGCCTTGAAGGATGAGATCTGGAAGAAATGTTTGACTAAAAGATCAATATTTGATGGTTGAAATGGTTGCTGCTCTACCAAAAATTCTACTTCAAACAAAGCTGCAAGCTACTTTGACTTATTTAGAATTATATTTCTAGATACCCAATTCCCTAAATCAAATATATATACCACATATAAACCCTCATCATTACTTCTATACAGTATTCAATTCAAGAAAATTTTCATGTTTTACTACTAAATCAAAGGTAAAAACTATAAACAGTTAATAATCTGAAAATTGCTACCGGTACATGTACAATGCTTTTATAATGTAGAGAAATTTTAAATCGCTGAATCCACCTTTCTTTCAGACTTGGATTTGGATGTTGTTTGATACCATTTTGTGTTGATGCCTGTAAAGATGTGATCCACAGTTGTCCTAACTGTCGTCAAACCATTTCAAGATACAGTAGAATGTAAGGGTGTGTTAGGGATGCTATCACTTGATAATTTTTCTATTAATATATTTGGCATTAAAAATAAAAACGCTTTTGAATTTTGTATAATGTATTTATTTAAAACTTTATATATTCTGAGTAGTGATGCATCCCTAAAAAAGTGCAAAATTTCAAGGCTAAAACCCTCACCATTTGATATATTCATAGACTGAAATTTTTTTCTAATATTTGTGATGTTTCAAAAGGTAATCAATTAAAACTGCTGTTTAAGTACGCCTTGAAGTTTTGATGTAAGAGTTGATAACTATGTTTTTTGAAAGCTGACCAAACCATTTTTTTTATAATATATAATATTTTTTTCTATTTATAACATATTATACATCTAATAGACCTGATTTTCATATTTCCTTATAATTTTAGTTTTATGCCAAACTCCTTCAAAAATAATATTTTATTTCTCTCATCAAGAATTTTTTAATTGTTCATTTGATATGAAAAATGCAATTTTTTTTTTTGAAAGTTTTGAATTTTTTTGATTATTTTATGATTTAAAAAACATTTTGATACAAAACTCAAAATCAAATATACTTTTCGATGCTAAAAAAAAAAATTATTTATCATTTCATTAATGACTTTATTTAGCAAAGTTTAATGATACTTGAAATAATGTGCACCTTATATAATGTATGTTTTGAAATGGCCTAGAGAATTTGCATAGTATCTTCACTCTGTTATAAATGTAATTGTGCTTAATTTTGTAACTGTCACAATACTTGCCTTGACTTATGAATTTTGAAACTGAATCAATTCCCAATATTAGCTTTATAAATTCAAATTGATCTGTTCAAAATACAATTAAGAGAGCATATCAAGCAATAGATATGAATCAGTTTTCCAAAGAGCAATTATTAGGAAAAATTTGATTTAGTTCATGTCAATTGTGAAATATAAAATTTGTGAATAGACCTATGCTAATATGCCTAAAAAGTAATTTCACTGTTGGTAACCTCTTATCTTGTGCATCCTGGTTAGAGGTACTGGTAAGATTCCATGATTTATGAGCTTTAAAAGGTTTGAAACTATCATGACTTAGTTAAAATATTTCAATGAGCTTGATGTTAATGAATTTCTTTTTTATTCCTGTAGATCTGTTTTTAACTGATCATAACATGTCCTGCTGTGATGTTTTCTCAATTTTAAATATAAATTTTCTTCACACCAATTTGGCTGTATTTATTCTACTCTCAATATCTCACCCATGTCCAATTGTTTATAGCAATACAGATAGAGATAGAATTCTTTTAAATTGTAACAATAGTTTTAATTGATTTAAGATGAGTTAATTATAAACTGAAATTGATTTGCCAACAATTGTAATCAGACAGTTGGTCATTAGAAAGGAAACCCAAATTAACAGTTTTATTTCAGGATCCTGCTTATAGACAGATACTGGTACAATTAAAGCAAACTAAATTGGCACAGGTAGATTATTTATTGACTAATTCCTGTATTACATATTGGAATTTAATAATAGTCTTATCTAGATCTGTTTGAGATATACCTTGATGTACCACTAATCTTACCGATTGTTTTGTAAATGGCCACATCTCTGGTCGAATACTTTCACCAAGTTTTTCTAATTCTTTCTCTGGGACCTACAAAAATAAAAAAACTTTCAAAGGATAATAACTTAGGATTTAGCTTTGTTAATCTAGCTATCTGTGCTAAGCATTTCCAACTAGAAATCTCAAATTAGATTTTGAGTAGGTCATATTTATCTGGTTAATGTGCAGTGATTTGATCAGTGATATTAATTTATTATTTCCCATTGATATGTTAAGTTAGGCCATATAGTTGATGCTATCCGCTTTCATAGCTAACTGTATCCCTTTTATTTATGATTGTTAATGTCGCAATATCTATCCTTGATTATTAGCAAGAAAAGGATATATCAAGATGAGAGTATTTTTAGTCAACATTCAGGAGCTTGCAAATAAAAATACACTGATAGCACAGATACAATGATATCAATATTGCTTCATGCAAAAGGTATGCAATACATCACAGTGTGAAGGCAATTAATTAATAACATTGTTCTACCTGTAGTAATCTGTGACAGAACTGTTCAGCTGTGATGATATTACTAATATTAATAATGACTATATTAGTGTGAACATCACTAGTTGTTATCATATCATTACCACAGTTTTTAATAGCTGAAAAATACAGAAATATTACATATACGTACAGTATTTAATTTAATTTGATAACTCTTAGGAAACTTGCTATGACAGGTGAAAATACACACATATTACATGGTCCTTTGATAACTATTACTGAAGTCACTATCACAATGTTTTCACAACAAAAATTCATGGGATTTTATATACTGTACCACTTCTGATTATTTAATAGGTAACAATTTGATTACTGAACTCACAGATAATGTAAACTAGTGTCCAAAAGAAACGATACCACCTGTTTGCAACGACATAAAAGAAAAACTAAACAATGCAGAAGTTTAGGATTGGTGTTATGCTTTTGAGAAATCCTTTCACAACATCTGTACAAAAATTTCATTTCAATAAAATCTGTACAACCAATATGACAAGCCTTTAAAGATGGGTGGGGTCGAAAAAAGAACATTTCGTTAGAGCACTGATCACAGAAACAACGGGAAATGTCACACCACACGTCACAAAGTCAAGTCAGTAGCGGGTATGTCCACCGTGAGCATCAATACATGCCAGAACACGCCTACGGACTGATGCCGTCAAACGTATGATGACGTTGGGAGTGATGCGTTGCCACTCCTCGAGGAGACATCGTTCCAAGTCCTGGATGTTGACTGGAGGCACACGGCGACGTCGGATTTGCCGATCGAGGTGGTCCCATAAGTGCTCGATGGGATTCATGTCCGGTGAACATGCGGGCCATGGCAAAACCTGTACGTTGGCGTTGGCAAGGAAGTTCTGTGTCAATCTTGCTGTGTGTGGCCTTGCATTGTCATGTTGGAAAATGAGTCCACGAGGCTGTTGCTGAATAAAGGGCACCACAACAGGCCGTAGGATGTCATCAATATAACGCTCTGCATTCAGGTTTCCACGAATTACGACAAGCCTCGTTTTGACGTCACCACATATGCCACCCCAAACCATTAACCCTCCACCACCAAACAGCCGGACCTGTTGGATACAGTTAGGCGCCAAACGTTCACCAAATCGTCGGTATACAAGCTGCCGTCCATCGTTTTTGAAGATGAGGAATCTGCTCTCATCAGAGAACATAACACGTGCCTAGTCCCGCCGTTGCCAACGTCGAACTCGCCTGGCCCAGATCAGTCTGTTGTTCCGGTGTCGAGGCGTCAGGAGCGGTCTGCGGTAGGGATGACGTGGCCGGATACCATACTGCCGTAGTCTCCTGTAGACGGTCTGTCGACTGATCCTGTGTCCCAGTGCTGTAGCCGCCGTGGACGTCGCTGTTACGTTGCGTTTCCTCAGGTGTAATACCCGAATGTAACGATCTTCACGGGGCGTGGTTACTCGTGGTCTTCCACTCCTGGGCCTGTCTGACGTCTGACCTGTCTGACGTAACCGCTGCATCAACCTGGTGATAATGATGCGTGCGCAGCCCAACCTTCTGGCGACGTCGACGTGTGTCGCTCCTTGTTGCACCATTCCAACGGCTCTCTCTCTCTCGATGGCTGTCAAACGTGGCATATCTTGTGTTCTTTTTGTTGCTGTGATATCAACGTGTCTGATCAGCCGTTTTATACAGTTTTTATGCACGTGCAGAACATGCTAGAGAGGGAAATGTCACTTTCATGAAATTTACGTTTTTTCCCGGAAGTGATCACGTGTTCCCGTTATTTTTATCGACTATGCTGTGTTTGGGATGTGCAATACGAATTGGCATGTTTTCATATTAGACAATTCACTTAGTAAAAAAACAATTTTGAAAATAAGTCGGTATCGTTTCTTTTGGACACTAGTTTATTATTGTTAGGATTTTCAAATGCAGAAGGAACTCTTTAAACAACATTAAAAGGAACATGTATCAGAAAGTATGCTATTCTACAACTCATACTGACAACAAACATCAAACAATATTTCCCCTTATGAAACATAAAATCACCTTTAGCTATCTGTAAAGCCTTTTCATGATCTTCATGTAACCGAGGATATATAGTATCTAAACTAACTAATGCTGGACCTGCTAAAACACCAACTTGTCTCATTGTACCACCAAGTGCTTTACACATCCATTTAGATCTATAATTCAAAAAACTCTTTTAAATGTAATATATACTTATTTTATTGTTGCAATCAGGAACCCCAGACCTGTAGCTATAGGGGGGCAAGGGAAAAATTGATTGCTCCCCAAAACGGTCCACCCATTTCATCAATGCAAATAAACATCACACCCCATTACTAACTTACCTACCTATCAATGAATTCTTTACTACCAGCTACAACAGACCCTGCTGGTGCACATAAACCCTGAAACATACAGAAATACACACAGTGCTAAACAATGTAAAGAACCACAAATTCTAGTAATAATCAAAATTAATGAAATCTATGCACTGCTATTAATCACTGGAAAATAATCATGAGACATACTTACATACTCAATCATATATATTTCAGAAAGTCTCTGATACCTAACCTCTCGTTAAAATCCTTTAATCCTAAAATTAAAGAATCTAAATATTTCATACCTTGGAAAAACAAAGTGTAACTGAGTCCACATATTGTACAATTTCTGCAGGTGAAACCTTCAAATAGACAGCAGCATTTAATAATCTAGCACCATCCATATGAACTTTAATATCGTTTTCATCAGCTAATTTTCGAACCTTAAATAAGATAAATCTTTCTTATAAATAGAAGTAGAATTCACATAAACTCTAGTTGAGCAAAGGTAAGCTATATGTGCATATTGGGTTCTTTCAACACATAACCATAAGTTGTACACTTTATTTTCAATATTCTAGGGTATAAAAGGAAAAACTTACAGAAGTGCGGGTCTATAAGCAGGAATTATCACTAAGTCCTTACTCTCGTAGTAAATATGTGGTTTTACATTTATGTCAATAGAGGGAGTATTCCTAGCGTCAAAACTCTATTATTTCAGTTCCAAAGCATGCATATTATAATTTTGGCTAAAAAGAAAAAAAAAGAGTAATACCTGTTTTAGAAATTCTAAGGGTAAAACTTTTCCGCCACATTTATTATGTGTATTTTCTACACAAATTAATCTTGTGGAGGGATAATGTACGTCGTTTTTATCTCTTATTAAACTGGAAACTTCATCTAAATCAAATGTTCCATCATCTTTATTTTCTACTGATCTTAACTGTACACCTGCTAGCTAGAAGACAATAAAATATATGATACTAGCTTTGTTTATTTCTAATAAATTTTTTAGAAAGGCTCTGTGAGTATTCTAAATTTGCCAAGTGATTTCTCCAAAAAAACATTTTAATATTTTTGTCTGAGATTTTGTAGAGAAAGGTCAAACAGGGGCCTTTTAATAAATATCAAAAAGGCACAATTAATCAATTTTATGATTGATATCAATTCTGGAATTCTGGAAACTTTACCAGACAACAAACAAAATATTTGGAATCCTATTTTTCTACAATGCACATTTATTTTTGTCCGTCACTGACAGTTACATTCTTATTTGATTCTTAATTATCAAATTTCATTTTTATTAACAATTTCACAAGACAAAAATAAAGTCACCAAAAACTCACATGTCCAGCATTACCAACTTCATAATATACAATATGACTTTTGCTACCAATAATTACTTCTTGAAACCTGGATTCACAGTGTACCATTACTACAGAAGAAAATATTTACAAAATAATATGATAGTTTATTCTCTTGTAATACCACTGTCCATTAACAACAGTCCATTAAAACAGAGCAAGGCTTGTTCCAGATGGTCCCTGGGGATTAATACCTTGATAGTCTTGACACTCAGTTTTATAGTTTAATAAGAAACTATATGTCATAGTCAGTATAATATTTAAAAAGTGAATCCTGTCTCCACATTTTTAATAATATCTGGGTTTTGTTGAGCCAATTATCATCAACAGGAGAAATACTTGTTTAATGAATTTCATTTTATCTTAACATTCCAAAAACCGATCAAATTTTTTTCACCATTTGCCTTACATTTAATTCTTCATTAAGAGTTTGATATAAAAATTATACTGTATTCATACACACACCATCAAATATCAACCTACTTGAAATCAAATTGGCCATTGTTCCTGTTGGTACAAATAATGCAGCTTCTTTACCAAATAACTGAGCACATCTTTCTTGTAATTCTACAAAATATTAATATCAATTCTAGATAATAAAATTAGCAAAGGAATACAAATGGTTGACATAAACTATAAATTAATAATTAACAAAATACCAAAAAAATAATTTTTCTGTAACAATTTAAATAAAATGAAATGGTCAATCTGAATGCTTTTCAGTGGCATTTCCAGGCCCTGCGCCCAAACCCCCCAGAAATTTGGCTTGCCACTGTTTGCCCGCCAATTTTTAATTTCAAACCATTAAGTGCTATTGCCCCTGCTCCCCTCTACAATTATGTCGCCTCCACTCAGCCCCTCCACCTAATGCTTTATAGAAACCTCACTGATGCTTCTTGCATAAATGCATATCGTGAAATTAACAATAACAAGACCAAATTTAAATGCCATGTTCTGGAATAAATGGTTCAGAAGTACATCTTACTATTGACAGTTGGATCTTCATTATTAACATGATCTCCTAATGGTGAAGATACCATTGCCTCATACATTTCTTTGGTTGGTTTGGTGACAGTGTCACTTCTAAAATCTATCATAGACATCTTTCTCACTCTCCTAACATTAACAATACTCGTAGACCAATTCAATAGTTTAATACATCTATTCATCTATGAAAAAATATATTCAAACTCATAAACCTAAATCTTGCTTTGTTGCTTTTATCCACACAAGATTAAGAATGATTTAATATAGATTTTAAATAAGATCAGGGTATAGGTTTATAATCCTTAAGCGACATTTAGGGGTAGAGATCACATTAAATAACAGAACGTGATTTTATGGTACACTACTCCTTAGTTTTATTGCACACAACGTTTCAACAATCTACATTGTCATCATCAGGTGAAATGAGGCCATAAAATTGTGTTCCGTTATTTAAGCTGTAGGTTTATGAGTTTGGAAATCTTTAAATTCTTGATGTACAGTGATTCACCATCTCCAATGTTTGATTTCAGATATATACACAATTTATCTTAACCTACTGTTTGGTTGACATTGTTTACCATGCATTACAAAAGATGACAACATTCAAATTCTAATATTCTATTACATTGGGCTACAGCTAACCTGCCACTAAATAACAATTTATATTTATATTATGTGAGCATGCCCTATATATTTATAATGTGGAAGTATATGTGTAATATCTTTTTATGGTGGATTAATTAGATTGGAATGTATATTTTTCCGAGTTTATACATGGTAGGAGAGAGAAGTGGATATGATGATTTCTAGTCACTATATAAGTCACTATAAAGGCAATCATTAAAATTCTATTACTGATTAGCTCAGCTAAAAATTCCAGTGGCCCATCTGTACCTTTAAGTCAATAGTCAAGGTTGGGTAAATTCGAGGTTGGTTGGGTTCACTGTGAGTGGTGATAATTAATTTGACATCTGAGTATCAATTGATTGATGTAGCTTACTTTTAAAATGGGTGTGTGGTGGCAATATTTCTTAAAAAAATATGGAGACTGATAGATAATAAAAATGGCAGACAGCCAGTCTTAACTTTTTTTTTAACAATTAATTTTCACCTCATTACAGCATGATAGCTTTAACTACAAAAAACATTCATAAGGATATCAAATGGGACATAACTCTTCCCTTCACAAAACATATCAGACAAAAACTAATTTTATTATCATTTAGTCATTTAATTTCCATTAGTTTTAATCTTAGAAAATCACACTACAAGTAGAAGAAATTAATGACATGATCCCAAAAGCTTAATATAGCCTTTAATAGAACTGTATATACCTATTTCACCTTGAAAGATTTTGCTGAACGACAGGAAAACGATGTATTTTAACTGGATGATATTAGCCAATCAAATACAATATATTGGCACATGGTAATATGGCTGATGTCACAAAATTCTCTATGATATCGAAACTCTGAATTTCCTTTACGTCAATGAAAAGTTAGAAAGCTCTATTAAGATGCAGAAGTGCCCGACTTGTCCGAAGTGTACTGGATTTTACACTGCTACACATAGAGGTGACTGACTTAATGTTTTTCATACGCTTTTTTTCATTTTATCTGTTCCATCAAGATCAACTCTGCTCTTCTCATACTCATAGTCCGAAACATCTATTCCAGCCTCTGCTAATTTGACACTGTCAGTGAGGTGTAAATTTTAATGAGTGGTTGTGAGTGTAGGGAGTTCAGTTGGATTGAAGGTTTTGCATGAATACTTTTCAATTCTCATACTTTTTGTATGTACATCAACCCAAATACCTTCTTAGTCAAAACAGTACTAATTTAATGAAGTTGCAATCCAATGGCAATGATCTTAAAAATAATGGAACAAATTCATATAGATCTGATAGGTCTATAGAATCAAATAATAAAAGTCATATTGAAATTTAAACAACTTCCTATTGTGCTTTGATCTTTGTTACAGATAATTCTCGTTACAAGTCTAGTAAACAACCTATATTATTAAATTGCGGTCATACATTTTGTGAAATATGTGTTGTAAAGTTAGCTGGTCGTGATGACAAAACAACTATTCCATGTCCACAATGTAAGGTAAGATTTACCATCTAGATTTACTGTTTTATGATATTCCTATGCACCTTGAAATTGCTCAGTGGAATGATTTTCAACTGGCTGTTTTATTGTCAAATTAAGGTAGTGAACCACCTAATGGTCTTAATGATTTAAATACCAACATCATTACATTACATGAAGTTCAGTTTCCATCTTAAAGACAATGGCAACAAATTACTTTTGTCAACATTAATTTTGCAGGTTATAACAAATATACCAGAAGATGTGCCAATGTTCAAAGCTTTAACACCAAATTATTATATAATTGGTCTATTATTTTGTAATCAAAGAACATTATTAGATCAGTAAGTAGTCAGATTTCCAAATGTTCACATATTTAGATGGTGATATACTCTCCCATGTCTTTTCACAAAATTCTTGTCAAGTATTTTTGAACATTTTGAAATTTTAAAATATCAAACACGAAGAGTGAAAATTTGTTCTTTCAAATTTTAACAAATAAATCTCGAAAATGCTATTCTGTATAGCTCTTTACCTGATGAAATATGATTAAATGTAGTTAAGTCATAGTGTTGAATAGAGCATCATCTTAATATGTTATACACATCTTTAACTTTCATGATATCAGCTTAATGATGTGGAAAAATAATGTAAGAAATTTAGATAATTGCCATAAACTGTTAAATAATTAAAAATAAGTTGATGTGAGTACTGTAAATATTATAAAGATTGATTAAAGATGATATATAAATCTGTTTTTATTTAGGGAACTGAGTCGTCTTATCCCAGCTGGTGGTTCTTCTACATTAAAAAGATTTGATAGAAAATGTAAGTTTAAATAGAATTTGGTAGCTCAGAAAAAATTAGACACTTTTCATATTAGGATTTCTCATAAAGTATCAAAGTTATGATCATAATATTTGACCTCATACTTATAGAGGTGTTTGTCATCTTTATCAAAATTATCTTCATAGGTTGAAACACTTCGAATCCTTTGAAAAACCTTGTCAAAAAATAATGTTGTCTAACCTAACTGACAGAAACTGCATGTGTATTTTTAAAGCAGATTAACACAAAGAAATATTTTTATGTAAGGTCAATAAATTTTGAGAAACCAGACAAACCAAGATAAGATTTATCAGGTTGGCTTATAAACATTAGCCCTTACTTTTCAAGATTCATTAATATTATTGAAAAACATATATATACAATTTGTAAAATGCAATTTCTTATGTTACAATTTCATTACAGACCTTATTGTAAATTTGCTACGTCAATAAATGTTTTGACTATTGCTACTTAAGTTTTTTATCTATCGTAGATGGTGAGAAGTTACTATGTCAAGAATGTAATTTAAATAAAGCAACATGTAGATGTGTTAAATGTGATAGCTATTATTGTGGATTGTGTTTTACTAAAGTAAGTATTATTTAAAAAGATTTTGGATAAGTTTGAGATAATATCTTGATTCACAATACTATTTCAGCAATTTAGCATGATAGTTGCATTGAATTTGTTGATTATTTATGTATGTCTAAACTAGTTATTTTGATTATTTTATCAGGTACATTCTGGATATAATTCATTACGACACCATCAAGCATTAGAAATATCAGATGGAACAGAAAGGTAAGAAATTTCTGTATTTTTTATAAAATGGCTGCGTACACATTCTTAAAGCCACAATGCCACCAAAACTATAAAAAAAAGTAAAAGAAATCCTTATTGAAATAAAGCTGGCAGTAAGTGTATGATGTAACCATGCCTGGTTACCTTTCTTTGTTATCAATAGTAAACCTCTTTCAATTTACTCTCTGTCTCATGGCTTTCAAGTAGCTTATATATGATATGAAACTTCACTGACTCTTGATTTTTTAGTTATATATTTGTTTACTTTAGTGTAATCATTAAAGAAGAAGTTGCTCCTGTATGTACAGATCATGATAATAGACCTATAGAATACTATTGTGAAGATGATTTAACACCAATCTGTTCTCGCTGTGTAATTATGGGAGCTCATAAAGGACATTCTATATCCTCTATGGAAGACAAGGTAACTAAGGTTCACAATACATACCTTATATTACATGATTCTAGATAGTTATAAAATAGTTAACTATATTACAGTTATTTATTAAATGTATTAAAATATAACCGTTATTGTGAAATTACTCAAGTTCTCTGCCTCACCATTTCTAATGACCTTTGCTGCACTATTATCTTTAATCTTTGTTGTTAATTATGACATGTTATTTTCTAATACTTAGAATAAAGGTGTATTGGCTGAAATGGAACCAGCATTACAGACAGCTAATTATGTTGTCAAAAAACTGAAAAAAACTGAACAGGTAAAGAAAGTGATTTTAAATTCTATTTTTTTCTACATATTTGAAAGAATCTTTAAAATAGATGAAATTTGCAGTTTGCATTCAGATGAATTGATTAAACAAATAGCATAAAAATACATGACTATTTTCAAAATACTGAAATCACAAAATGTTTGGACTTTCAAAATTTATCAATCAAAGCATATGAATTTATAGATTTACAAATTAGATAATCAAGAATTCTACAAAAGTTTTCTACTCATATTTTAATTGTTGCTTTATACCTTTTCAGTCATTTAATGATTTCTCCCCAAATTTTAAAGCAGAAACAACTTCTGTGATAGAAGAAATCAGAGCTCATTTTATGTCATTACATGGAACAATGCAAGCAAGGTAGTATTTTGATTTGAAGATTTATACAATAATAGAACACTGAAATATTCTGTATCTAAAACTATGTTACTGTGTGTTAGTTATCAAAATGAAATGAAATGAATGGAGTTTTTTACGTCCTACGTGTTAGTAATCAAAGCCTTTTTTTTTAAGTTTAATTCAAGTAAGCCAAGGATTATGAAACATCTCATTTTCAAAATCAAGAGATTTAATTCCCTGCTTAAAAGGAAATTTCATGGCATTATATGTTTTTGGAAAGAGACTTAATGTACTTATTAACAGTTGGAATCATTTACAATATTGTAGAGAACACCACTTAATCAAAGAAGTATATGATAAATTTAATGATTCCTTATTACCTGTCTTGTATAAGGTAAGAATTAGTAGATATTCTTTTATCCATAGCCGTATATTGCTTGCATATATATGATGCAGAATTAGTTTTAAATGGAAGGTGTAATAGACCACACTGTATATATAAGAAATTTTAAGCCAAGGATTTATATAGCTTACATTATGAATGTCCTTTTCTTTGTTTACAGAAATCTGATTTACATGAAGAAAAGAGACGACTCGAAGCAGCTATTAAAGGTATATCTTTCTTTCTTATTTATTTCTAAATATTTAATACATAATACTATTAAGGAAAGCACTTTTGAAAAAAAAAAATGTTAAGACAAAAAAATATGTGATTTATCAAAGAATTCAAGCAATTATTTGGTTACCTGGTTATATTTCAGCTGCCCAGAGAATATTAAACAATAATAATGAAACTGTACTGAATGCTAAAGAAATATTAGATCACTTATTACGAGCTAGAACTATACCTTGTACGGCTGTAAAACAAAATATAACAGATACAACAGACAGCATCAAGTAAGTACAGATACTTAATACTTGACTTTAAATAGGAGAAATCATCTTAGCTTAGAACACATGCATGACTTGTGTAGGACAATTGGTATGACTCTTTCAACTGCATCATGTGATACAAAAACCACTTTGACATCATGGCCGATCTCTCCTATGCAATATTTTTTACAACAGTTATTTATTTTCAAAAGCTACAGTAGTAGTAAAACCTTAAAGTAGTGAATTTTTGATTTCTAAAAAATTAGGAATTGCAGAATAAAACTTTCCTGATTTAATTGACTTACATTTTCAAAACCTTTTTCCTATGGTTTAAGTGTTAACATATATTTTCTATTATATCAGATGGAACAGTGGTGAACCTATTGAAAGTCTTATTAATCAACATGGTAGTATTGAAGGTTCTGTGTCTTCCAGGTTTGTACCAGATTTTTTAATAAAATAATTAATGTACATTATTTCAAAGTAAGGGGATTCTATTTAATAGAAAAATTATTTATTGTACAGGCAAAGTAGTTGACATAAATGAATCGGATAGTTATAGTATTTTATAATTTCAGGTTTAGTTTACAGACTATTGTTGATATACCTGATACGGATGATTCTGATAGTCACAGTTCTATTAGTCATTCTAGCTATACTGATACAGTTAATAGTAGTGAAGATGTTATTGTTGAAGGTAAATGTTTATTGTATTGCTTGAACATATTTGAAAACCAACGATGAATTAGTCTCTCCACTGTCACTGTCCTGTAAGTATCAAATAAGTGTTAACCGGTATTTCAGATGAAAGGAGTGATTTAGAAGATGATGTCCAGAAAAAGAATAAGAAAACATTTCTTATGGAAAAGCAAAGCTATAGAGCTAAATATCCAGGTAATTCTAGAATTCTGACTTTTTAGTTCAATATTTACCAATATATACATTTGGCTTTTACTAGGCTATCCTGATATCTCTAAAAACATGTAAATGCTCTTATAACTCGAATCTGTAAGAACATAAGAAGAAGAACTTTCCTTTAGGAAACTAATATCCTTATCATTGACTTATTGTTGGTTTCAGGAATTCATTTTATAAATGAAATGAAGTCCTAATGTTGTCCTTCTTAAGAGAAAAGGTGGATTTTTTTTAAATGTAAAATGGTAAACTATCTAATAGTGATAAGTTTCTTTTCATTTTACATGTATTTAGGTCATTGTGAACAAGTTTATGTAACACATATCAAGAGTCCCGCTAAATTTTATTGTCAGAAGAAAACAGATCAAGCAAAATTAAACAATTTGATTAAAAATATGAATATTTGGTGCCGAAGTTTGGCAAAAGAATCAGACATTCCAGCACATGTTGAAGAAGGTATGAATTGTATTTCTGTTTAGTTACATCAGTAATATGACTTGCTCATTGAAACTGAGGTCATAAGTTCAAAGCAAAATGATCTTTAATGGACCCTTCTCAGTTTAAAGATTCGATAAAATGATTTCCATTTCAAAATCAAAATCAAAATAACTTAATAATGTCTTGTGAAAATGGTGCTACTGATTTCTTATTTCACAGATGGCTTGGCTGCTAATACTGCTACAAACATGATATATGATTTTAAATATTTTAAATATTAACAGGTGATTTAGTATTAGCTCAATACAGTGCTGATAAAAAATGGTACAGAGCTCGTGTTTTAGTTGTGATTCCCCCAAAATCTTCACAAGACACAACATCAAATACAATTACTACTTCAACTTCTGACAGAGATACACAATCTACCACACAAGACAGTGAAACATCAAGTACCATAGACTATGACAATCAAAATAAAACTAAAAATAGGAAAAAGAAAAAAGATAAATTGCAAACAAATGAAGAACAAGCAGAAGTATTATTTTTTGATTATGGTAATCATGAAGTCATTCCAATTAGCAGGTAAGAGATAGGCTTGGCTGTATTCTTAAGAAAACGTGATACAAATCATTTTGCTTCAATACAGATTTATTTACTGATTATATGTGACAAACTTTGAATGATTTTATACAGGGAAAAATTAATTAGATTTGATCAAGAGAATTCTATATATGTCATGTTAAACTACATTAGATAGATCTACAACAATATAGATTAATCTGTTTCTTTCAGAACAAGACATATGCAACAAAGATTTTTAAAAGTACCACAATTTATGTTAGAATGTGCTTTACATGATATTGAGCCAATTAGTGATGTAAGTTTTATTAGATCTGTTTGCTTTCTATTCATTATTACCATTGTATTTATTGACGGACACGAAACATTGGGACTAACACTAACAATTAAATTTTTGAATATTGTACAGTTAATTTTTTTTCAAGCAACAAGCATCATCATTTCTCTTCCATTATTACTTTTAGAATGGTGTATGGTCCAAAGAAGCAGCACAAACCTTCAAGAAGATGATAGATGGTAGAGTCATGTATATGAATGTAAGATAGAATTAACAAGTTTTGTTATTTTAATCAAAAATTGCAAGCTTGGGTAAATAAAATTAAAACATTGCAATTAAACCTTTGGACCCAGTATTCTATAATTTTTTGAACATTGTCATGGTTGTAATTTGTAATAATACTTCTGTCAAATTTTGATGTTGGTGTTTTATATTGAAAATGACCAGAAGTTGAAAAGGAGAACTTGAAATAAATACAGCTATTGCAAGTCTCGAATTTGTGTGAATTCTTCCAATGCGATATTGCCCTATTTACAATTGTGTTTATTATGAAGTATATAAACAGTCAGTTGTTTCTACTTGTACATACACAATGAAATTGATATTACAGGTTATAAGAGAAATTAATGGTATATTACAAGTTGATTTACATAAACCAGCACATAATGATATTATGGATGATAGTCCTGTATCTTTACGAGAAAGTTTGATATTTTTAGAATTGGCTTGTTTTAGTTATAACAGTGAACCTATCGGAGTAAAACCAGGTACAGTCTAATTCTACATCCTTAGTTTCATTTCTAAAACCATCTATACATAAGATTTACTAACTTTACACTGACTTTATGGGCAATTAAATATATGAACATTACAGACTCTGAGTTCACAATCCCAGTTGTAGTGTGGCATTATTTGAAAGTGAAAATGAAATTTCTTAGTTTAGTTCATTTCTCCAGACATGTGATATCTATTACCCTCTCACTATCTGGCCATCTTGTATTTGTAGTATTACCTGCCTCAACCAATGCTGGTAGAAATTATACAACACCAGAACCTAAAACAGAAACTGATATATTCCATGTTTGTGTAACTAGTCCTGAAACACCACATAGTTTCTTTGTACAGCCTGTAAGTATATCAAAATAATTTTTATGTCTTGCAAACCAAGGAAGCTCAGATAACAGGAACTTTTGATTGATGCATCATTGATAGAGATAGTTCTTGGCCACTACATGATACTTTCTGTCTCCCTTAATCAAATAAGAGGCAGTAAAAGAGAATGTAAAATCCAGTACATGGATTTCAATGTCAAGAATTTACCTTTTGACAGATCAAATACAATTAAGAACCTTTGAATTTTAAATCCTTTTAATGTTCTGTCTATGATGGGTGATCAATCATACAAACATTCATTGTTTATTATTATAGTTAGGAGATGAATGTAAATATTTAACCAATATGATGGCTAAGATGCAGGACACCTATAATGTAGATAGTGGTGATCTCTATACTGTTTATTGTCCTGTTAAAGGTATAGTATCCTTAATAAAGTTTTCTTAGTTTACCAACAAACTGATTTGAGAACTGAATATCTTTCATTTTCTGTCTGACAATATATCTGGAGCTAAATGAAAGTCAGCCCAAAATCTTTACTTCTACTAATGGAGACCGGCTTTACCATGTTCCTTGAAGACTGCCTACATTTGATTGTCTATTGTCAGTGCTTAATTAGTTATGTTATATTGTTTAAGACTGAGTTAAACTTAATGGAAAGACATTGCATTTGGCACATAGCTAACTTAAAACTTCAATGGGACATTTCATGGTTGATAAATATAAGTATATTACTATGAGTGTTATAATCTATTTTAGGTATGATCTGTGTCGCTCTATATACATCAGATAATCAATGGTATAGAGCTAGAGTTATCAATATACCAGGTAGAAAGTTGGTAGATGTACAGTATGTAGATTATGGTTATGTTGATCGTATACCATACTGGAATATACGCAAAATATTAGATACATTCCTAGTATTGCCCCCACAGGTTAGTATTATATACACATTAATTGATTGAAGTTTTCTTTGTGTTCATAAAGTGATGAGAGAGTAATTAAAAGGTTATTTTAACAACAAGAAAGGTTTATATCAAATACAAGATGTTTTTTTTAACTGTAAAATATCAAAGAAATATCCCCTTATTGGATAAATCAAAATAGTCAGATTATTGTAATGTAGAAACTGATTATGATGTTACTTTGATGAGATGTTAAATGTTAGACTTCTAATATTTCAAAAATTCGGAATAGTGATATATTTGTGTGAATGTTTAATGCTGTATTTCAGGCAGTATATTGTAGATTATGTGATATTGAACCAATAGATAGTAAACTTGGCTGGTCCAATGCGGTTAGTGAAAGCTTAATTTTACTTCTTATTATATGTCTAATTATTTTGAAATATTTTACTACTTTTAGATTTTTGCAACTATGTTCTCAAGTGTTAGTAGTTGAGGTTAGACAAAGCATTGCTGCTACAAACATTGAACTTAAGAGATACCTGCTATCATGAAGGAGTAGGGTAATGACAATGTCATGAAAAAATCCATATTGCATGTGACTTATGTTCATTGGGCTAAATCCATGTCTTACCCAAAGAAAACTTTCATATTTAGATCCTCGTTATTATATGTTTCTTATTCAATGTAATCAAACTAAACTTTTATATATCTCTTTAAGGCATTAGATTGGTGGAAAGATGCAGTATTATTTAAACAATTCCATTTGAAAATTACCGGTGAGAAATTACTTGAATTGCACATTTTCAACATCATAGACAGACATTATGTCTGCATTTCCACATTTCACTTGTAAAATGAAGTACATTCCCATGCAGTACAGTTATGATTCTTATTATTCATAGATTGATGATCATAGATTACCTACAACTTTATCCCAATGGAACATTGCCTGACATAAAAACATCATTTTATTTATTAATGTATATTTTTGATAAGGTCTACCAGCCAATGTGTTTGATGTTGTATTAACACCATTAGTAGAAGATTATCAACCTGATAATATCAACACACAGTTAGTACAGAGAGGTTACGCTATCTCTACTGGCGTATGGTAAGTATTAGTGATTTTAGATTCAGCTTAAAAAAAATTAAACACAATTATATAAAATATTATTCCATTGTTTCATGGTACACAATGTGTCAATAATGAAAATGCTCTGAAAATGCTGTACTGCCACCAAATTTGGATACACTGTTTAATATGATCTCCTTAATCTTGCTGAAGGATTATAAATGGCTAGTAGAAACAAATTTGTGGTATCGCTTGTTCAGCAAACTTTGTTAAGTGGCTTAGCATAGATTATACATATTCTATGAGCATTGCATAGATTTTCATGTTAAAGTTCATCACAAATTAAATGTATATGCATAAAGGCAATAAATTATTTTTTCCTATAAGTTATACCAGTTTTTAGCTATCAGTTATCACTTTAGATATTTCTTACAGGTCAACTGGTGTTCAGGCAATTGAACCTTACAAAAAATGTAAGACTAAGAATACTGGTGATGATCATGCTGGAAATCAAACCATATCAAATACACCATATGTAGAAAATTCATCCACTGGTCCAAATACTCCTAGAATGGTATGTTGTCAATTTGTGAGCCGTGGGTAATCTCAGTCTTTTCATTCAGTTCAAACTTGAAACATCAACAATGGTTGTGGTCTGGTTTGTATCTGTTTATATTAGAAGCTAGATATTGGTGGGAAACAAACTGTTTCTTTCTCAATGATTGTACATACATTGATCAAAGTCTTTCTGTTGTATTTTAGGTCAGTCCCGAACGAACTCCAGTTAACTCACCACTCACAAGTCCTTCAAAACAATTCAGAACCAATACTCATCAACCATCTTCATTGACTGTACCAAACTCTTGTTCTATCCCCTTTTCTAATACCAACTCTTCATCTTATATTTCATCTTCACCATACTCTACATCAACTTCACCTAAAGCCAAACCTAATGTTGCTCAAAAACTTCATGTCAATGTACAGAAAGCAGCGGAACAATCCTCACCTAGTCTAACTAAAGATGGTTCTAACACGGATACTTATTTAGAAGTGTTTGTTAGTGCATACGTCTCTCCGTCCAATTTCCATGTACAGCTTGCCAAGAAACATGACACTGCACTTAAAGAGTAAGCTATATCTTATTTTACATTCTTGACTCCAACTAGTCTCTCTATATAATAATATGTCTAACACCACAACCAAGTCATATTAGAATGATTTTCTTGCTTTTGCAATTTGATTGGCGGTAAGTTTCGAATACTGATATGATAAGACAAATGACGTTATTTAGTTAAACAAGCTAAGGAAATTGTCTGCTATGGACTGTGCATGCTAAAGGTACTTACTGTTTGAGATTGAAATGGTAAAAGTAGAATCAATAAAGATTTCTTGTCAAAATTAGACCCATTGCACATTACATGGTTTATTTTATACAAAGACTTTCAGAAAAGTAGTAATTAAAAGTAAATATAATTGCATCATTTTCATGTTGTGTATTTGTCTTGTAGTCTGATGAGCCAGTTACAAGCAGATTGTGATAGAGCTGACCTTAAGGGAGAAAAGGTTTGGAGGAAAAATGAATTCTGTGCCTGTAAATACTCTAAAGACAATATGTGGTATAGAGCTAAAATATTAAATGTGATAAATAAAAACTTATATCAGGTACGTCTTCTATATCAGCAAGAAATTTTGAAAAGTTGGTTAAGTTCTGAACTAGTGATTTATATTTGAACACAGTGATTACTTTAATGTTTTTAAAAAGTGGTTCATTTTTTTTTTTACGACTTATAGATGCAGCTAGTAGATTATGGTCATATAGATCATTGTGGCTTTAATGATCTACGTAGTTTGAACAATGAACGGAGAAGAAAGAGTTGCTTTGCTGTCAAGTGTCATTTAGCTTCCTTATATCCTGCTGGTTCTACTGATAGACATAGATGGTCCATAACAGCTCGTGAATTCATGGAAAATCAAATCAAGGATAAAACATGCCTTATCAAAAAACAGGTAAGATATTTGGTACTGTCTTTTTTTTAAAAACCTAACCTAATGAGTCTGGCACCACTGACTGAATGGCATTTAGCTGTAATTTTGGGAATTTCTGTTATTGTCCAAGCGTCATATATCTGATTGGTTGGTTTCATGCCTTACGTAGTTTGTGGTCCAGAGAGTTAAAGTCTTCTCATTAACCTTAAGGGTTTGATCTTGGTATATGATATCTTTAGATTGTTAAAACAGATTTTCCCCATGTTTATAGTGCAGATGTAGAAAAAGTTCTTCATAATTTATAGCAGACAACCTATTGAGGCTATGTGTGGAAATATAATTGATAAGGCTAATACAACTCTCATAGCACAGAAAATGGAATTTCATTTCTGTCATATGAGCCATCAGTTAAATGTTTTTAAATGTTCTTGACAGAATCGATGTTACATACTGTATAACTAGTAATGTTTCATATATATCCATAGGGTGATATTGTGTCAGAAGATTTAGGACTACCTATAGATTTAATAATAGAAGAAGAGGTTCCTGAATCTGCTTTAGAACCTTCACGAAAAATATATTATGGCCTGATAGAAAAAATTGTGGATGCAGGGCTAGCTATTCCAATTAAAACGTAAGGAAATCCTTTTTGTATGCAGTCTTTAGTTTAGATTGTTACTTAGTCATTTTTCCAGGTAATTCGTACTCAAATTTGTAAAATTAAAGATTCAGATTCATTATGTCTTGTATTATGTTTTCTACAATAGAAGCCCATTTTACTTAAACTTTGACTGATTTTGTTTTGTAGATCACCATCCAAAAAACCTAAAGTTGATAATCCGTACTATACATATAAAAAACATCCAATACCTGATAATGATACATTGATTGTAGAACCAACATTTGTTGATTATGATTGTATTATTTATACTCAAATCTGTGATGAAGGTAAATAAAATTTTGAAAATAAGTCAGATGTCCGAAGATCACATAGCAGGAAACTCTTGAGCAACAAGATGTTTTTTTAGGTTCTGTTTAGATATTTCTAAGGTTTACCATATTCAGAATTCTTGAAAACAGACTATGGCATAGGGAACATAACAGTGTTCATTTCCAATGATGTAATATTGAATATAAAGTTGAGGCTTCTTGATTAATATGATACATGTCATGTTCTTATTTTTTCAGAAGAGGAAATGAATGAGTTCACTCAAATGATCCACAAGAAATATAGTGATGTAGAACCTGTTGTGTGTGACTGGAAGATTGGTCAAGCATGTGTTGCGTTATTTGAACTAGATGAATGTTGGTATAGAGCTTCTATTGTAGAGATGGAAGATGACAAGGTTCAAGTAAGTCTTCTGACAAATTTAGTAAAAATGAGGCTAATTAAGATATAAAAAAAAGATGTGCTGAAGATTTAATGTAAAAAATCTGAAAGTTTTAGATGGACCAAAGAGGCAAAATGTTCCCAATCTAAAACAGTGCTGTTTGGCATTCTGTAAACAGAAATGGTGACTGTTATATTATTGGGGAAACAAAATGACGAACAAGTGTGTCTCTCCAAAGACAGTGTTATTTTCTTCTATCCCATTATAAAAATATATTTATCTTGTGTATTAATGATCCTTTGAAAGGCTTATGATTTTCATATTGAACATGAAACATTTCTAATATCCTACCGTCTTGATTCATACATTTGAATGATCTTGCAGGTGTTATTTGTTGATTATGGTAATTCATCATGGCAGACCTATTCCAGTATCAGACCACCAATACCAGAATGTTTAAAAAAACCATCCTATTCATTACAATGTTATCTCCATAATGTTATTCCAGTAAGTTTTGTAATACTTTTTGGAACTGAATATATTTTATAGTTGTCTGATCTATGGGAATCAGGCATATAAACAGAAAATTTGAATTTGTTTAAGAGGTGATGGTTTTGAGTTATTGAGATGCTTAATGCATTGTTTATATTATTAATCTAAATCTATATTGTAGGTCAGTGAAAATGGACAGTGGCCAGTTGTAACATTAGAATTTATACATAATAAATTAGTTGGACATCAAGTTACTGTACATAAACAGGTAAATACTAAATTTTACAGTTTGAATAGATATTTATTTTAACAAAGCTGGTTCTTATAGTATCCTGTACCTCTTTATTCTCACAATTGAAGTGGACTATTTTTCATGAACATTAAATGCAATTTCTCTTCTTTTAGGGAGTTTTGGTACTGCATTAACTCTGAGTGTTTAATCCTTATAAACTGTCTTGTCAGACTTGATTTACTCTCTCATTAAAAAACACTTATGATTCAAACACATTTGATTTCTGTCTAAAAGTCGGAATGAAATATCTATAAAATTTATATAGACTGCTACAAATTAGATAAAGTACTGAGAATTACCAGTTCAATTGAGTTACACTTCATACATGTGGAGAATTTTTCATGGGTTTTCTGGAAAAGTTTGCTAGATAGTTTGATTATTATGTTGATTATTTTAGGCTGTGACTGAAGATGAGAAATTATTAGTCAACATCAATTTAACTAATGGACAAGATTTGACTGACTTATTACTGAGTAAACAATGTATACAAATAATTGATGATATGACTCCAGCGTATAATATTAGTACAGCTGTCACTAAAATATTACAGGTACAGTCAACATTGCATCATTCAGCTGGCCACAGCTATTGTTATCAAAGGAATTGTAAAGAGGATATTTAATTTTTCGCACCATTTGAATCTTCTGTCAGACGTCGGTGGCTTTTTCAATTTCACTGAAACTTAACATTGTATGATGTCAATGTTGCAAAGGTCTTTTGATGTTATTAATAGTTTTTGTGGTAGTGACTTCACCAATGTCGAGTGATAGTTGAATTGCAAGAACCACTTTGTGGAGTTTCTAGAAGTAAACTAGATTTCCAAATCTTAGGTCGTTAGCCCTAATCTATACCTTTATATTATTATTAATTTTAGGAAACCACATTAAAAACTGTTGAACCTTTCTCGTGTGGTTTCAAGTTTCCAGTAGCTGTAACAAATATTGAACTTCCAAATCTGGTAAGTACTAAAATGATATTAAAAAATCAGCCATCAATATTCTTTAATAATGTTACTGTTCTATAACTATATAGGCTTCATGCAGTGTTTATAATCACTTACATTAACTGAAGTCAAATAAAAATGCTTTTAGTATGATCCAACGTACTTTTGACAGATAGAAACTATTTACACCTTTATATCTTTATTATTAAACTTTCTAGATTTATTGTCAACATAAACCATTAGATGCTAATCAAGGTACAGAAGAGTATCGTGAAGAAGCCACTAGGATTAATAATAGTTTAGAAGAGTTACAAAGACTATCCATAGATATCAATATGTCAGCTCCTCAAAGTCATGTATGGACCACATTACCCAAACCTGGTATGATCTTCAATATCTTATCTTACGTGCAGGATTATATTTTGTTTCAAATTGTTCTGTTTTTTTCATTTTCACTTTATTCAAATAGCTTTGTGTATGTGACAGTGAATTTGAACTAATCAAACAACCTAAAAACTGGAAAGCTTGCCCATACTTGTGTGATGTTCAATAGTTTTGTGTGTTGAGTCATGTGTTTCTAGAAATATTTGACCAGATATACTATTTGATTTTATTTTTACAGGAAATATTTGTTCAGCTCAGTATAGTATAGATGATTATTGGTATAGAGCATTAGTTATCACAGTAGATGAAGAGAGTGATCTTGTAAAAGTCCTTTTTGTTGATTATGGAAACTCAGAAGATGTTCCTAAAGACAGGTATAACATATACTTTCCAGTTTAAGCTTAATTCAAATCTTCTCCTAAAAGGTCATATACATTATTACCCAGAACAAGAATGTTTTGAGCAAATAAAATGCAATTCTACAAGTTTCAGGATAATGTTTTTCAGTGGTGCTATGGCATTTATTCATAACTAATTAAGTAAGATATACATTTATGGTTATCTCACTTCATAAGTTTTGAAATTGACAAAACACATCTGTAAACCTTTCAGATTGAGAGTTTTACCCAAGAAATTACAGAAATTGCCTATGCAGGCCATGAGATGTTATATAGCTGATTTAGTTCCACCAGATGGTCAATCATCATTTAGTTTTGAATGTTTAAAATTATTACCTCAAGTTTTAGATGGTCAGGAGTTCTTAGCTGATGTCAAGGTATAGATCATTCTTGAAATTTAAAAAAAGTATTGTGAGACATTTTGTGGTCGAACTGAAAGTCTGATTTCTTTTATCTCATTATTCCAGTTGATTAAGAGGTAAAAGGTTTCAGATAACATGGAAAATGAAAAAAGCTAAATGTATAGATTTAGGATTTGCTGGTATGGATGATCTCTTCTATCCATTTTATTTGTTTTATTTTTCAGTCTTCAGAACCTCTCACTATAGATCTGTTTCTAATGAAAATGGAAGGAGAAGGCTTACAGTTAGCACATCAGTTTTTAGTAAATGCACGCTTGGCCAAGTTTGCTCCAGCTTCAAATTTGTAAGTATTTTTAACTTATTTGATGTTGTTTTTATCTCCTTTTGAATCTTATATATAAATGCTTAATATAGTGGATCTAATTAAATTTATTGATTTTATATAGGTTGGATATGGCTTTAAATGGTGGAAGAAGTGATGATACACCTGATGTAATATGTGAAGAGGAAGAAGTGAAAGAAAAGTTACTTTAAACTATTGTTTTATTGTTTGGAAAAATTGCTAACATAGCTGTTTGGTGTCTAAGTATTATAGATCTAAATCTCCTAATAACTGGTGTTCTAGTCATTCCTCTCTATTTTATCATTCTTTTCTTTGTTTTATTGTTTTCCTTGTTATGTTTTGTGTTGAATTTTTCATAACCATATGGTTCAATTTAGTGTAAAACTTTAGTTCACTGTGTTAATGCAAATGTAAGTAAAAGATGATATTCTGATACCCTTAGATACCTGTACAACTGCTGAATAATAAGATCTGAAGTATTTTCTTTACACCTTTTGTAAATGAAGATATCATTGATGTATGTTAATGTTTCATAATGTGCTGTCAAAATAAGATATGAGTTGAGTTCCAATCGAACTCTTCAATGTTTATTCTTTTCTTAGTTGTGAAATTATTGTTATTTTTATAATGAGCCTGAGAATCTGGTTTTGTATAGAAATATTAAAAGATGTTAAATCTTTATGTAAAGTTTGGGAGTAGTTGTGTCTATTTATCCTTCACTTGGAGAAGCAAACTAGAATTTGCTCACTAAAACACAAATGCTGGTTGAACTGACACTCTTCACACACTTTTTACTCCATCTTATGAGTAGATATTTATTTCCCTTGTCTGAAGTTCAGTAAGAAGAATCATTCATGAAATCCAGATGATGTGCCTTACTGATCTACAGGTCCGCAAGGGCCTTAACGTGGTAGATCAACAGAAGACCACCTTGACATATTCGGCGTTCTGGATATAGCATTTTGCGTAGTATGATTCACATACTGAAGACTTTATGACCTTCATGGTTGCTGATCAGAACTCTTGGTCAATACTCTACAAAAGTGATCACATTGCGCCAGTTTGAAGCCTCTTCAATGAAGGTTGATCTTTGTTAAAAAGTCATAATCTTGTTGGTCGTGTTTACTCCAATCTTGAATTATTACTTCTTCGAGTCAACTTTTGCCGAACCGGCAAGAATTTAACCCTGGTGTTTAATGTGAGTACATCAATCCATTGTTATATACGTCGTGTACATTGTCACAATCTGACAAAAGAATGACGTTTTATCATATTCATTGGGATGAAAGGTGACAATGTTTTCGAAGCCGTTCATGAGGAAGCGTGTGGAATAGATCAGCAACAGTTAGGACTGTCGGCTGAAACTTTTAGAGTGGAAATCACAAAAAGAGAAAATGTTGGTGAGAAGGACATGTCTGTTGGTCATAGTGGAGGAAGCAACATCGCTTTGCAACCGGGCTTATCACTACCCAAAATAGGCTTAACAAATTCTAACTGGACAGTTAGTGGAACTGGAAAATCAGATAATGATATTCCTGGCAGATGGTTCTTAATGCCCGATGATGAAGAGAAACGACATAAGAAGGCCAATAAAACAGCTTCACCGCCAAGAGAACCAGGTAACCGTATTACTACAGTTACCTTCACGAGATTAGCAGACCCGTTGCATACAATCACTGAATGTCCCGAGATTGTGGAGGTTCAATTTTGAAGTTCGACCAGTCGCATTTCTGACATGGGAATAAACTACATTATATATGAATATAATTTAAATTCCAGATGGAAGAAGCTCCACAAGATCTCTAAACAAGGTACCCAATGGCACTGGTGTTGGTCTTCCAAGAAAGCATGATACTAGTTCGAAAGACACGGAAGAGTATGTAGAATGTTAACTGTAAGCCCAAATGAAAGCATAGTAGCATATTGAAAGCGTAATGGTATCACATAGCAATATTGAATAGATTAATGACATAATACTAAGCTATTGAATATCAAAATGACACCACACAGTGCTATGGAATAGCATGATGACACATAGCTCTATTGATTATCATAATAAGATCTGGCCTCTAATAGGCCTCTATTAGGGTCTATCACTCAGAATTGTAATTCAATTTAATTCAACGATTTCTCTTTTGGGACATGTCCGCGCGGTATAATTTCGGTTAAAGAATTCCGAATCTATTACAAGCTTAAACTATCACTTTTCAGGATTGATTATACTAATAAATATATCGAAATGTCGAAGTATTTGCGTTTGAAGAAAAAGTTCGACGACTCTCAAGAGAGACTAACAAATTGTCTCCAAGTGATCAATAAATGGTATGAAAAGGCTGATAATTGTAAACAAAATTACAATAATTTGCAAAGTGAGGGCATACCTTCGAGTGAAAAGAATGAAATGGAAACCCTGGATATGTGGAAAGGCAAAGCAATGGAATATAAGGCAAAATATAATACTGCTTGCAAACAATTGAAAACATTCAAATCGGAATATGACGAGGCGAAAAGAATCGAAGGAGAAGTGAATATGTGGATAGTCAATGCCAAAGAAACCCGAATAAAATATAGAGATCTGTGCGAGGATTATGATAATCTTTTAATCAGATTCAAAGAAGCTTGCAAGAAGTAGTATCTCATTTTTTTTTTACTGTTGAATATTTATTTTTTGTGTACAGTTCTCGGGTTTACTCTCATAAAGCAGTATAAAGGCAAATATTGGTCTTCTGTTAATAAACATTGTTAAAAAGAAATGTCATTACTTGACACACACAACTAAAAAACATAGGCTTAAAGTTTGGGTTACGCGAGGGTTAACTTTATTTCAATGTCAACTAGGGCAAACCCCACTAATTAGTTTGTAGCCCCCATTACGCCCCACATTAAATTTCAAAATATTTGTGTAACCTTGGGCCATTTGGTGTTAAAAATTGCATTGGCATCGTATTGAAATACATCTCAAAAGGTCCCACCAGTTGATAAAATTTTACTTTGGTTTATCATTAAGCGCTTAGCATTAATGGATAAGTGCAAACAATCCGTTTGTTAACAAGAATGAAGCATGTCATTAAGTGGCCAAAAGACCAGATCAGTAGATAAGAGATTCTGTTTATTAGTTTCCAGACGTAGATGGGCGTTATATATGTATAAATATTTTTTTTGAAAGGTGATACGACAGACATATATTAATGCTCTTTATTATCTAGTGAAGCGAATATTGAAACATTTGATATCACTGTGCGGCTAAGAATTAGAGATCTTTTGGCACGTCTGTGTAATTAGAGACACCGTTTATATTTATATTTTTGTATTTCTATTCAACATATCCTAAATAATTATAATCTTTGACGTTTATTTGGTTTGTTTAAACATTTTCCATTCTTCATAGTAATATTAAAAGGAAAAAAGACAAAAAAAATCCAGTCCTTGAAGGTACACATCCACATTTTATATACAAAAGGTTAACTCGACCTTTCACCTTTGACCCGTCAGCTGAAGATTACAATCCAAAGTTCGCTTGTGAAATATCAGTTCATTTGTTAAAACATAAAGCAAACTTTTTAAACATGGCGAATTATAATAAGGTCAGTATGTAATAAATATCTAATGCTAAAATTTGTCACTATGATCATTCTTTGTTATGGCCAGGGATTATGGCTGATGGCTGTAGCACTATCAATGTTGGCAGGCGATGTTGTAGGCTTAATCACCAAACTGCAAAAATGAGATAAAATTGCTCACCCCTAGATAGGCCTAGTTATGTAAGCTAAATAAGCAGCTATCTTATAGTTATATCAGTATAGGACAGTGAAGCTGCAAGAAAGATAGTTTAGATTGCAATACCAATTGTTTTAATAAAAGCAGTATGTGCAATATGAACAATTATATAATTTTCTCCACATAATGATCAAGCTTAATATAAATTGTATTGTTTCTTCCAAATGCTTCCTTAATAAGACAATAGTATTGTCAATGTTTTAAGACAACTCATTCTCTGTAGGTTATCACAGAATTACATGAAACATTTCTTACTGGTAAAACCAAGACGTATGAATGGAGAGATAGACAATTACGACAATTATTAAAACTTATCGAAGAAAATGGGAAAGCTATTGAAGATGCCCTGTTCAAGGATTTGCACAAGGTAGGCTACAATTGAATCATTTTGGGGAAATAGCTAAGTAAGTTGCAGTGCTTGAATTGTGATGTCATTAAAAATTAATTGAGTGGGTATTGGTGTAGGGTCTTTATCTCAGTTGTCAAGTCTACACATTCTGGGTTTTTGTCATATATGGAAAACTTGCAGAAGAAATGAAAAATGACTAGCATAATACTAAGTGCTTAGTAATCCAATCCCACATCTTCAAATGATTGGAATTTGTGGCTTAATGTGGAGTGGAGCTGATTTATGTCATACATATATCTAATCTGTCCTTATCTTGATATACAAAAATATTTAATATCATGTATACCCAAAACATGTTTTTTTTCAGCATGCTAATGAAGCTCAAATAATGGAAACTGGTATGGTGAAGAATGATTTGATAAATGCTATAAATAGTCTTAGTGACTGGATGAAGCCAGATATGGTATAATATTATCATATTAAAGTATCTTCCTACATAAGCCTGAATGTCGTTAGAATAAGAATCTCTTATTCATCGCCCTGAAACAATTAAATATTTTCAGAGCATTCAAATTTGAAATATTGAGGTATTTAAAAAGGTGGGGAAGGGGTTTAAATTTGAATTACCTCTTTAATGTGGCACAAATTTTAACGATTTTCTATATGACAACTGTTTCTGCTCAATTTGAAAGTGTAATGGAGCATTAAATAAGATAAAAAATTTATATGTTTTGAGTATATTACAAAAAAAATTGAAATTTATAAATTGTATAATTACAGGTGAAAAAAGATCTTTTGGTTGCCATGGATACATGTTTTATTCAATCTGAACCATTTGGGGTAACACTGATATTAGGGGCATGGAATTACCCCATACAGTTAACATTACTACCACTAATTGGGGCCATTGCAGCAGGTATGTATAATATTTATTCATGATTTTAATTTGTACATAAAAATAGTTTCAGAAAGGACCCAAAGCTCACTTTGAAAACTTCTAATTTTTGTTGATACAATGTTGCTTCTTGTATATAATCATCATCTATTCTTTGTATGGCCTGCAGACTTGAATTCATCTGCATCATATCACTTTTCAAATACACATTAAATCAACCGACAATGAATGTAAAAGTAACAGGTGGAAGTGAAATTAATGTACATGTAATTGCTCATCTATTAAAGATACAAACTGTATGCATATTGTCAATCAGTTTATCCTAATTTTAGGAAATTGTGCTGTAGTTAAACCATCTGAATTATCTCACTATACAGCATTAGTATTAGAGGACCTTATTCCGAAATATTTAGATACAGTATGTTTTCATTATTTTGTTCACCTTTTCATTAACTGATGATTAATGTTAACATAATATTGTATAGTATCACTGAGAAAGTGACATTTTGCCTACCTATTGCTGATACTGATTATGTGATGGCATAATTACATGACTTAAAGTGATACTACGTCTTAAAATGAACATAAAATTTAAGTTCTCAAGAATTGTCAATATGAGTATATATTCATCAGTGAACTTTCCTGGTGTCATAAAGTTACAACAAATTATATGCTCTTATTGGCCAAGTTTAAAATTCTTAAATTTTATGTTCATTTAAGACGTAGTATCACTTTAATAAACAAATACTCATTTAAGGAAAAAAATAAACTGCGGACTTGTTTTCTAGGAATGTATAAAAGTTATCAATGGAGCTGTACCAGAAACTACAGCTTTATTGAAAGAAAGATTTGATTTGATATTTTACACTGGTAATAATGTTGTAGCGAAAATTGTAATGGCTGCTGCCGCCAAGAACCTAACGCCTGTTATTTTAGAATTAGGAGGTAAAAGGTAAGATTTTTGATGATTATTTTTATTATGGAAGTGGAATAGCATGAACTGGGCATCAAAACTATCTGATTATAACACAAATCTGTTTTGTTACCTGTTTCTTTTGCATGTGTTTGACTCATCATCAATGATCTGACAAAATTCTTCTTTAAATTATGTTCCATACAATTAATTAGGCAAAAACCTTTATAATATGTGTTACCAATTAATATATTTCCCAGCTGTGAAAATAAGGCATGTTTGTCACTGCTCTAGCAGAGGCAATGATAACAAGTTACTTTTCAACCCTCCCATCTCCCACTATTGAGGTGCAAAACTTATATGAGACTGATCGTTTAATTTCAGCCCTGTATATATAGATAAGAATATAGACTATAATACTGTAGCTAGAAGATTGGTATGGGGTAAAGCAATTAACAGTGGTCAGACTTGTATAGCACCAGATTATGTTTTATGTACCACAGATGTTCAGGTATTGATTTCTCAACTGAATGTTTTTTAAATATTTATTCTATGAAATTCATGATATGTGGAGAAAATACAATTTATAAACAGAACAGAAAAGTATGAAATGAAAGTAAAAATATATACATGAAATGATTTAGGTCAAGACAGGCCTGTAACTAAGGGGGGCAGGGGGCCTGTCTCCCCCTAAGAAAAATGTGCCCTCTCCCCCAACCCCCTGAAAAACTTAAATAACTTAATGACTTGTTCAAACACATAGTTGACCCCCTTTGAGACCCTGGGCTAGCTACAGATTGGGTCATAATGAAATTCCTCTCTCTGTATCTAACCAGCATTTGTTTATGGTGATGCTTCCATTGAGAATAATATAATGATGTACAACTCCATTTATATTTATACCCAGTGGGTTCAGAAGTTGGAAAAGGAACATATTATATTATAAGTATTTTTCCTTTTTTTTTTTGTAGAACAAAATAATTGAAGAAATGAAGAAAGTCGTAAATGATTTCTATGGTGATCCGTCTAAATCAGAATATTATGGCAGAATCATAAATGACAGACATTTTGAGTAAGTAGACTAAATTCAAATTTACTGTAAAAAAATTCACTATTTTATATTAACAGGTGTAAAATTTAGAAGATGATTGTAAAGATTACATTGATAGAACTTTGTCATGTTTTGTATCTTTGATCATCAGTGAACAATAAATTAACTGACCATCTATGATGACTGGGGAATGTCTTGCAAGAAAATTCACCGTCTATAATACACACCCCCAGGGTCAAATTAATGGTTTGTTACAATTGTCATCCTTTCAAGAATTAAACATGTGATTTGACAGTTTTTAAAGAGCAAGCTTGGCTTATTCTTCTGTTCTTTAAGCATTCCCACCATTGAATACTGTATATTTCTGAATAAAATATCTGATATTTGTTGTATTTTAGACGTGTAAAAAGTTTATTAAAAGGTGTGAATATAGCTATTGGTGGGAATGTCAATGAAAAAGAAAGGCTTATTTCACCTACTGTATTAAAAGACGTTAAAACAACAGATCATGTCATGCAGAGCGAGGTATGTTTTATTCGGATTCAAATAGTTCTTGTTGATTAATATAAGTGTATTTATTGGATGGCAGGAATATGTGATATAACTTGACCTCATCAGCACTGCAACCAACTGTTTATTTCATGTGGAAATGTTGTACTATTGACATCCTGTAGATTTGAAGAGCAGATATTTTGAGCCTAACTTTTTTTGATGGTCCTTTTATTTTCATTTTGTTGAAACAATGATATTTACCAAAGACCAATGTCATCTACTCTAAGCACTTTTTTCTCACATCTTCTATAGTTTTCTAAGACAGATAAAACAAGAAACAGTTACCGGTAAACAGTCCCAAAACTCAGCCTGATAAACTGTTGTTTATATTGTAGATATTTGGACCAATATTACCTATTGTTACTGTTCAAAATGAAGATGAGGCTATAGAATATATTAATTCAGGGTAGGATGATTTTTTTTTTTAAATCAGAATTAAAAAGTATTAAGACTTTACCATATTATGATATTTTACAATGTTGTCTGAAACTTGTCAAATGAAAATAGATTGTCTAATTGTATATAACTAAAAGTTAGTTTCTCCTTTTTACCAACTGCGTGCATGAAGTGGGCGTATTAGGGCTTGATCCACTATCTTCTTATTTAATTTCTTGATATATTTTCAGAGAGAAACCTTTAGCTTTGTATGTTTTTTCTTCGAATGACAAGATAGTAAACAAATTTTTAAGTCAAACAAGTAGTGGTGGAGTTTGTGTCAATGATACTTTATTACATGCTGGAAGTAAGTATTTCAAAATAATTTTCATAGGATTTCAAATTTGATTTACTTTCCATGTTCAAACTACCTCAATGTTATTATCATTATGCTTTACCTAATGATGGGAGGTAAAGTGGTATTATTTTGGTATAAAAGAGAAAACAATTTCTAGGTATAATCAGAGATAACTAGAGATGTTACGTAGATACTTTCGCACTTAGACGTTTGAGTGTAAAAAGGTTTTTTATTTCATGGTAGCTGTCAAAAAATCCTTAAAACACATAGTTGATAATGATTAAAGATGTTCAATAGACAGACATTTTGGAACAGACATGTCACATGACTGGCGACAGAAGTCAAAGCAACAGTCTGACTGTTTATTTGTATTTCATTCAGGACCTCCATAAAATCTCATAATTTAATTCTGCTATTATATTTAAATAGTTCAAACATTACCATTTGGCGGGGTTGGACATAGTGGAATTGGAGGTTATCATGGAAAATTTTCTTTTGATGTCTTTTCTCATAAAAGATCAGTTTTGAAGAGAGGCCTAGGAATGGAGTTTGTAAATAAGTGAGTTGATATATATTTCTTCTTGGCTCTTGGCTAAAATATCCATGGAATTCAACTGAAATTGACAGAATCTGCAAATGATGGGAATCATTTTCCCCACCTCTATACAGAATTCAAAGTTTATGGATTGATGGTTGTTGTGTTCTTTCTGAACCAAGAACTCACTGAAGATGTTGACCAATGCTTTCAAACAACAGTGAAGGTATAAAGTTAGCAATAATAATGTGTGGTGTAGCACCAGATTTTTTGATTTTCAGGTAACTTGTCTAAGCTTTGTTTTGAAATTGTTATTTTAGCATACGCTACCCACCATATACAGAGAAAAAAATGAAAATTTTAAATCTACTGACTGGAAAGAAAGTTAAGAAGACTGGTATTATGTCATTCTTGCCTTTTGTTTTGTTTGGAACTTTTCTGGCCTTTGTGTTCAAGGTAAGTGTGTTGATTGATTTATATAAGACATTCAATATTTGATTTACATGTTATATTAACAAAGTTGGATGATTTTGAACCTCAAGGAATTATATAGAAAAAGGGAGTGAAATTTTAGACTGAAGTATATTTAAATTGATTAGATTATGCGATTTTTGTGCCGTTCTAGTAGTTCTTAAGACTACTTACATATATTTAATCCTGTTATTGGCAAACCATGGTCTTTAAGGAAACAAGAACAATTTGTGATGTTACTTGGTGATAAAAGTTAACAATATTATGATCATTTATATTTTTAGTCAGTTGGTGTGGAAGCCATAGCTGCTAGGATTAAACCTCTATTAGGTAAAAAGGACTGAAGAAAAGAATGACCACATTCCAATAAAGACAAAAAGACTATCACATCATTTTTTTTTTACAGTTTTTTCTGTCACCTGGCTGGTCCTAGTTTAAATTACTTTAATTGATACATTTTATGATAACAAATCCTGTTTTAGTATCTAGAAACTATGAACTTTGACATGACAAGCCTAATTTTAACTACAGATAAGATAGTTCATATTGAAATTTTCTTCTATTTGAATTATGTTGTACAAAAGCTAGGCTTTTGCCTGCATGTAGGTAACTTGATCACAAAGAAATTTGGTCACAGTAGACTGGTCACAGGTCAATTTTCTGTGACATTTGTACATTGTGACCACATTTCTTTGACCAGTGTACCTTGTGAACATTATTCTGTGTCTAATGTACTTTGTCACCTTATTTCTGTAAACTTTACCTTGTCACCAATGTACCTTGTGACCATATTTCTGTAAATAATATACCTTGAGAGCATATTGCTGTAAACCATTTACTATGTGACCATATTTCTGTTAAAATGTACCTTGTGACCACATGTCTATGAAGCATGTACATTGTGACCACATTTATATGAAGCATATACATTGAGACCATGTTACTGTGACTAATGTTCCATATTGTGTTATATTTATTGTACATGCATTTATGTTTATATAATCCTATAGTGTGAATGATGAAAGATATGGGTGGGCACCACTTGATTTAATGGTGCATAAGATACAATTTTACAATGGTACTGAGGGAATATTTATTGGTTGTTCACAGACGAGAAGTTTAGACAAAGGAATGAATGCTTCTATGTACATATATGCTTATCTTTTTACATATTGTTTAACACATAATTAATATTGATTAAAATCAATTCAAACTAGAATGAGATCTATTTTTATACACTATACTGTCATTTCTCCAGTAAGTCCGTCTGTCAGACCATCGATATATCTTGGATTTAAAGAGGGCACTAAGGTACATTTATGGTGGACGGCCCTGTGAAAAAATATCTGTTCCAGGAAGGCGGAGAATACATCATTTTGGGTGTGCAGGTAGAATAAATTGTTCATTTTTTGTGACCAGAAGGGGAGGTTGGGAACATAGCACACTCTATATACGCCACTGGGTATGCATGTTCATAATTATTAAATTTCGAGTTCGAATTTGGCATTTGAAACGGTATTTTTACTGTTCTTGGGTCTTGACTTAATACATCATGCGCCAAATTTGGCTTGTAGACGCTATAGTTTTATCGATCTTTGTAGGCCAATACATTTGGTATTTTTGGCGAAACACCGTTTGGTAGAGTTTTTGCGCTATCAGAACTGACTATGTACGTAGGTTTTATTACATATTATTTTGATTCTTATAAATTTACTTCCACGCAGGTGTTGGCAGCATTAACATTTTGTACAAACCATTGTAACACCAGCCCCGTCGCCAGGAATGAATTGGTACTGGGGCTCAACGTATCAAAATCTATATCTTTTTGATTTTGTACAAAGACACTATAAATGAATCAATCTCTCTGCTGAACCAAACAAGGTTTTGCTGGGGCTTAATTTTTACTTGCTGGGCCTCAGCCCCCAAGGACCCCACCCTAACGACGGGGCTTGTTAATACCCATCCCTTCAGTCGTTATCATTTGAAGTATGTAGCAGAACGTTCATATCTTGTCCGAAGCCAAGGTTACGCCCTGAAACTAATGGACCCCTACTAAGCCGTGACAGATTCAAGAATAAATCTTGTATTTAATGATGGGCCTGGACCAAATTGCAATTTCGACCGGACATCCATACAATTTTCAGTTCCTCGTGTTGATCATGTATTGTCAAATAACCCAAAATAAATATGAGAAACTATATTTAGTTTTGAGGTGGTGTATGTTCCATTTTAAATATTGGGTCATGTTGACTGTCTGGAGAACCATTCACTTCCTCCTGGGAAAAGGAGATGCTTGAAGGTTCAGATTCTGTTTCTGTTAAAGATGAAGGTGGGGACGGTCCTGTAACTGAAGTTGTCGGAGATGGCATCTTTATTGATCCAGTTCCCTCCAGTGTTTTCCCGAATTTCGAAAATGTAGGCGAAATTCTGGTATTTGCAACGACGGGAATTACTTCGTTTGTGGATTCAGCTTTTGTACGAAACGCTTCTCTGTTACCTAAGAAGTTTGGCTGTTCATTATATGGATTTGTTGACAAAGGAGTTATTACAGTCGTCTGTTCCTGCATCGGACTGGCAGAATGAGCTGCATGTTCTGTTGTTTGATTAGTTAGGTCTATCTCCTCGATAGGAAATATGTCGGATGGTTGTTCCACTACAGAGCTAACCTTCGGCGTGTTTAATTCCTCTTTGTATAAGAGTTTCCGTTCTATAACAGATGGTATTGGTGAATTCTTTGGTGATAATGCACATGAAACCGTTTCAGCTGGGACCAAAAGTTCATCGAACGTTACTGGATTAGTGATTAGAATTTCTTTAGGGGAAGACTGTTTTGATGTTGGTGTGGTCGATGAACGCGATGTAGGTACGGGCACATCGTTTTGGGGACTTCTAATCCATTGTGGATTCGGGTTCTCCATCAGTTCAGCTGCTCTTGTTGGACTGTTCAAAGTTTCACCAAGCCTCTCAATCTGCTCCATAACAAAGGGTTCAATTTGTCCTGACGTGATACTATTTTCCACCATTGATGTTCGACTCATTGCTGCACTTTCGCTACTGGTGTATTTAGTTTCATATTGACAGTGAATTTCACTTGATGATGGTAAGAAATAACTCGAGGATGTAATAGAGATGTCATCTGTTTGAATACCTATACTATTTCTTGTTACTGATCTTCTATCGTCTGATGTTACGGAGAATGCATCACTTTTTTTAGATCCCCACTGGAAATGAAATTTATCTTTATACTACTTTATATAAATAATAAACATAACTATAATAGGAAGTTTACTGAAAAGTTGTAGTATAAAGGCAACCGCAGTAGCCCAGAAACCCTAAAGGTTTAGTATTTTCGGGATATATATTATATTATTTTGCTTACCTTACTACTCGTTGCTATGCTTCTACCAAGGCCATCTCTACCACTCATGGCATAACTACGACCTGTACTATCAAAGGTCTTTCTTGAGGCACCACTCATCATGTAGGGGAATTCGTTATTTCTATCACTAGAAGCCAGTGGAAGTTCTATTTCACGCTGACGGTAATACATTGGTGACCGGTATCGCTCATCGGGGGTTCCTTTTGTGGACACAGATTTGTGACTGCGTACGGATTCGCCGTTTCTTATACTGTATCTCATACTAGCTAAAGTTATTTGTGAACCCTGGTGTAATGAAGATCTTGACAATGTTATGTAATCAACATCATCATCAGGTTCAAAAGCAATTACGTCTTCAATTGTCCCCAAATCTTTCTTGACATCAGACGTCCTCTGTGCCCATGGAATCAAGAATAAGACCAATGCTCCGAGTATTACAGGAACTCCAGCAAAGTGAAAGGGAAGATTGTAAGACCCTAATGCATCGTACATAAAACCTAGAAAATAAAAACATTGTTTTCTAGCAAATTGATACACTTCAACTTTGGATTCAAATTCATTTCTTAATATGAAGCTGAAAGGCCTAGCGTTAAAATGTCGTTGCTAGGTGATGATGCGTCTTACCTCTGAATCAGATTGTACGATACAACTCATAAATATCATAGCTTAATCCTGATGTTATAGTTACCTGCAACTGGTGGTCCAAGTGTAAATGTTATTGATGAACTACAGATCAGAAAGCTCCAAGCTAGTGCCACCTTATCAGTCCGTACTAGAGAACATGTCATTAAGGGTAACAGTACCACAAAACAACCATCCACCAATCCAAAGAATATGATAAATACCAGAAGACCATCATATGACGATATTAGTGGGAGAAACATTGTGGCTGATCCAGATAAAATCATTGATAGTTGATGCATGTGAAGTCTATTCAACAAACCAAGTTGTACAATCTTGCCAAAAAGCAATCTACCAGTGGCTGTTGATGCTCCAAATACCATTATAATTATTGAACCTTGCTCAACCGTTGCCCCTTGATCGACAGCAAACGACACCTATAGACGATATCAAATTTAATTTAAAACATGCATGTACATATTGAACTAAAAAGATTAATTGCAAGCTTAAAATTACAATTTTACGCATAACTGAAAAAATAAAATAAAATAAAAATTTGCTGGGATTAACTTTAGGCTACTTTACCAACTACAGATCGATATTTGTTTAAAGTGAGTTTTGAATTTGAAGAATTAATGGTTACGTGTTACGGGAAATTGTACTATTTTGATTCCATGAAATCAGAGTGATCTGTATCCTCCCGAAATAATGAACTCGCAACCATTGCATCGGCAAGATGAAAGACCTATTATCAAAATTAAAATGTTATATTTACCAAGTGAACATAAGGAATATAATAACCAAACATTACTAGAGTTATACCAGTCGTCCATACAATGAATACTCTGTTCTTCCACAGAGCTAATTCTGCAATCAATCTTCTTAACGGTGATGTCCTTAATTCATCAGATTGAGTCTTTTTACGATTGGTTATTGGCCTTATGAAAAGATTTAGTATACTTGTCAGAAGACATGTTCCAGCATATACTCTGAAAGTATTTCTCCATCCTAAGGCATCAATGAGAGTCTGAGTTGTTGGTGCCATTATCAAAGTTCCAATACTACTTCCAGATGTCATAATTCCAACTGATACTCCGAGGTACTTGTCGAAATAATCTTGACCAAGTGTCATGGTGGGTGTTATAGACATACATGCTCCAACTCCGTAGATAAAAGAAAATGTAAAGAATAGCTGATCGATGCCTTGGACAAACGAGGATGCACACAGTGATATTGAACACAGAAATCCTCCTAACACCATGGCAAATTTGTGCCCAAACCTCTTCATCGTGAGTCCAGTAACAGGACCAACAAACATTGATAAGCCATAAGCAATAGAACCAACCCATGCTGAAACGAAACGGTTTAGCTGTTAATATCTTCAATAACAATTTGTGATTAAGAATAAAAAGCTAATCAGGCAACTTCAATTCCATTGTTGATATTAGAATAACATTTATAGGCTTAAGTATAGTTATTTAAATGATGTGCATAGTCTAGCTAGATGTGACACTGACAGGCTACCGTACTTCTTTGGTTCCGGTTATAATAATATGATCATGTAAGATTCCTAGCTGACAAAAACTATATGGATCCTGAAATTTTAATTTGGTATCCAACAATATTATGGGGGATATTTAAGTATATCCTGATAATGCTCCAGCAGCACAAGTCACATCATCATGCTTTAACCTACTCGCTACCGTGTCAGGAAAATCTTTTCCATCGATAGCCTAAACCTAATCTCGAGTCAATCTTGGTATATTTAGAAGACCTAGATCTATAAGCATACCTGTCGTTCCTTTAGTTGTGCTGAATTCTTTAATTAACTCAACAAAAAAGACACCAAATGCGTGCAAAACGCCAAGAATCAAAACTTGTGTCAAAAATCCACAAGCAAGTGCCCACCAACATAGTTTACTGTCTTTTTCGAAATTCTGTTCATCTTTCTCAGTTTCTACCACCTCTTTCTGCACTTCCATCGCTCGCAGCATCGAATTTCCGGTCATTCTATAGAGGCACACCCAATGCTCGTATGTTTAGCTTAGTAACGTCAAAGCATCCTTTTTACATATTGACGTCATGATGCAAGATAGCTTTACCGATAACTTTTAAGAGACAAAGCCGACGCCTGTGGCAGGAAATTATAATGTTTTCGTGAATTTGGATCAAATCGATATCTCATCGTCAGCTTCGTAAATGATCGGGATCTCATCAATCCACATTTACAGCCTAAGCATACAAAGTTTCATCGATTTACGATATTGAGTTAGGGATGGGATGTTAAGCCTTCTTCATCATTCTGTTAGTGGTCCATGTCCATGAATATGATGATCATGATGACAGAAGAAATCAATCTGCCAAGATAACAACAAGCGAATTTTCAGTAAGTCAGGGGCAATAACTCGAAAACCATTCAGTGACACCCTAACACCATTCAACGAAACATTGTCTAATTTGATCTCAGGCCTATCAATCCATATTATAAAGCATAGGCCAAGGCTTACAAAGCTTCATCTAAATCGGATTAAGTTCTGGAGCTTCTATCGTGCGAACAAACCAATGTGAGCACACATTCTCTAAGTCAAGGGCAATAACTAAAAACCGTTCATCTTAGCATTTTCACATATGAACTCGTTTTTAAAGTCCATACGAAGTTTCTTCAAAATCAGATGAAAACTGTAGTCTAGCTAACTTGAAGGACTAACACTAGCTAACTTGAAGGACTAACAGAAAGATAGGCATATGAGTCGGGCACACGGACATTTCCATGCATGTGAATATATAAAAAGCATTATCAACTGGAGAAATAATTCTTTGGACAAACAATACCAGAATAGTTTGTCTGTGACATGTTTTTTTTTATTTTATTATTTTCTCTTTTATACAAAATGCTCAAAAACACATACAATTCAAATGGTACCTCGTTGGTATCACAATCTAAGACAAAGCTATCTGGAATAGCATTATCAAGTGCGCTTTTCCATATCATTTTCTCAATCTTTAAAAGAATTTTAAAAAATCTCAACAATTAAGACAGGAGAAGTCTGTGTGTCAACTGGGAAACTAATCCTATCCCTGTGTTGTGGACGGTGGACAAGTCATCATATTACATTCACCGCATTTGTTTTATAATGCTAATTTTACCTTAAATCCATGTCTATACTTTACGCACCAAATTTGTTGACTTAAGGGACACTCGATTATCTCTTTAACGTTTGCCGATTTAGACTATTTTGAACTGAATTTGTAAGCGGTATTTATCCTATGAAATCTTAAGGAATGTCGTTTTTAACAAATTCTATACAAACTTTGAAGAATTAACCATAAAAAGATGACGGCCGCTTCTATCAATAACCGGAAGTTATTATGCCTTAGTACCAGATCATACCAGTCTTTATAACACGACACAGTTTCATCAGACGCACTGGACAACCGTGTCAAATTATTTCTCTTCAACCGAAAAATCCACGCAGTCATCGACGTCAAAATAGAAAAAATTGTCAAATATAGTTATTATTCGGAAATATTTTAGGAGAAATTTTATTGTAAACCGTTCATCAAAGTGTAAGATATCTTTTCAATATTATGTATAGGCTGATACTTATGAACTGAATCGGAAGATTGAGAAAATAAATTATTTGATTTGACAAGTTGCAAGAATTGAAGTGAAAGTAAAGTTTACCGGCCTCGACTCTGATGCGGTGGGTGTGGAAGGTGTACTGGCCTATTGAATTAAAAACCTGAACATATGGGGTGGTAACCCAATGCCATCGATTCTATAGGACTTTATCCAACGGCAATCGAAAAATAGGGGTGGGGAGGGTGTGTTGTTTTTGAATGAATATGAATTGACTAAACTTTGTATGACATTATGCCTCCTCCTTTTGGGTACAATTCGATTAGGCAGATTTGATTGTTTTTTTTTATGCCATTTATAGTTTTCAAATTACTCTTGAACTCCAGAAACAAGTGAGGGCGTATGATAAGTCAGATTTAAAACTGGTTTCCTGTTCCTGTTTATTATAGCCTATCAATGATAATATTATACTTGATGAAATGGTGAACTATCTTTTGCAGACAAATTAAAAGAAAATGCAGAACAATATAGATCCTCATCTTGACCTAACTGGTAAATTAATTATAAAAGTTAGTTTAGGGGATGATATTAGAAGAATACCTATACACAATGAAGATATAACTTACGATGAGTTAGTATTGATGATGCAGAGGGTATATAGAGGAAAATTAGGAACAAATGATGATATAATAATCAAATATAAAGATGAAGGTAATTGAACCTTAGCTATTCTGCATATTTTTCTGATTAATTTAGTGGTAAAGACAATATTTTTACTCAATGGTTGGTTTTCCATGGAGAATTATGTATTGCCCACATTTAGCCTGAATTTTGACTGTAATCCTATTTGTAAGCTTATGTAATTAATTTTTTTTGTAGATGGTGATCTTATAACAATATTTGATAGCTCAGATTTGTCTTTTGCTATTCAATGTAGTAGAATATTGAAAATAACATTATTTGGTGAGTGTTTTTGAATTTTTACTCATATTATATTATATGAACTTGGTTGGTGTAAAATTTGAAACAGAAAGAAAGAATATTACGCCAAAATTTGATTTTAGTTATTTTTGAGAAACTTTAATTGAGTTGTAAATTGTCATATATTTTTGTTTTTTTTATTTTCCAGTAAATAACATACCAAAACCCTTAGAAAGTGATGAAGTTAAGTTAATCAAAAGAGAATTACAATTGATTCGTGATAGAGTCAATAGATTATTAGATAGACTAGAACCACCAGCCACTGCGGTTTCTAGTTCAACAGATATTTCATCCAAACAAGTAAATAATGGTGGGTAGTTTAATATCGTGATTATTGATGACACATCACTTATTTAGTGGGAACTTTTGTAACATCATTGGTTTGTTGCCAATACAAGTTTAAAGATGGTGCCTATAGTTTTCTTATTATCCGCTACCCATTCTCTCTGATAGTTTGCATTTAATGATTGGAATGGAGATAGAAGATTGTTGCTTATGTCCGTTAATGTTCTATTCTTTGTTAGTTTTATAATGATCTGATAAGTAGGTGCACAATCCCTCTTATTACTTCATTTTGTCTCCCAGAGGCTAATCTGCAGTATTTGATACTTATTATTTCAGATTCTCGAGGCACAGAATCCAGTCCAAGGAAAGTTGATACAACAATTCCGCCTAACATAGCCAGTGGTAAAGAGTTTGATCCTCTATCTACACAGCGTTCTGTTGATGAAAATACCCAGAGTAAAGTCATGTCATCTTTTAATATTTCTAATGACGGTAGGTGATCTTATTTTTATACGCCCACACGTAAGATGGGCGTATATTGTAATCACCCCGTCGGTCCATCCGTTCACATTTGGCTCGTGCTCATTCTACACGCTACAGTTCTTTATGGATTCTTTTGATTTTTATTTTGTATGTCAATGTCATTATGAAGATGATCCCTATTGATTTTCGTGATGATCGGATAATTTTTCACCGAAATATCGTGTCTGACTTGACGTTTTTCTCTATTAGCTATATTGTGCAACTCGTGCTCACTCTACAGGCTACAATTTTTTACAGATTCTTTTGATTTTTATTTTGTGTGTCAATGTCATTATGAAGATGATCCCTATTGATTTTCGTGATGATCGGATAATATTTCACCGAAATATCGTGTCTGACTTGACGTTTTACTCTATTAGCTATATTGTGCAACCCTGTAGTCACTAAAGACTGTTTAATCATTTCTGACAGCTGTCAAACAATGGTCTAGCTATATATTATAAATGTATCAGTGGGAAGTTATTGTACAAGTACATAATTGTTCCTGTTGTTTTGGAGCGCATGAAGTTTCGATGTTTCCTCACATTCTATAATAGCATAACAGTTATTGTACTTATTTTAGTTTAATGGCAGACAGTTACAATGAAATTATGTCTAGTCTTTTTGCTCCGTCTGTAAAAGCTGTAGACTATTTTGGGAAATGTTTACTTGAGTTGACAGACCAGAACATTGCGACCAGGAATTTATAAGAATAAGTCAGTCAATATTTGATGAAATAATGTGATTTTTTAAATGATAGATCATTTTTTAAGATAAGATAAATTATACATCCTGAAAGTCTTCATTAGCCTTATCAGGTGCAGAAATTGTAAGAGAAACAATTCCGTTCATTTGATTTCATTTACTGTTTAAGAATAGATTCTACTTTTTCAATCAACATCAATCTCCAATAATGTCTTTACATTCAGACCTAGATATCTTCACTATGATAAATACATTGATGACCTTGACCTATATTTTTGTAAAAGTTATATATCTGTTATCTGAATTAAGTACTTTAAAGGTCAAAATATGTGACTGAGACTTTGAATTGTGTCACACTAGCTTTGTTAACATTTTTAAAAAGTTCTTTTGTTGTTTGTGGTGTTTGTATGAGGTTAACAACAAAATGGAGTTGTCAGAGTGGTTTATACCATTGATTTCCATGGTGATAGTGTTTTTGCTGGTTTTTGCATTGATCAAGGTCATCAAAATGGTGTATAATTTCAAGATAAAGTCTTTTATGTTAAATAAGTTTGATCACGATCATCCGCATTGGCTGTTTGGTCATTTATTACAATTACCTAAGGTCTTCAATGATGCTGGTTTGAGATACAAACGTGAGAGAACTGCCAGATATAGAGATTTTTGTTTAAGTTGGATTGGACCTTTATTACCAGTTGTTGCTATAACTTCACCTATTGGAGCAAGAGCTCTTTTAAAAACTGCTGAACCAAAAGGCAACATGTATCAAATGTTAAAACCTTGGCTAGGTGAAGGGTTACTATTGAGTTCTGGAGAGAAATGGGCTCGTAATAGAAGACTTTTGACACCAGCTTTTCATTTTGAAATTCTGAAACCATATCTTGTGATTAAAAACAGAGCTGCTGATGTGTTTTGTAAGAAATTTGAAAAGTATGCTGTATCGGGAGATTTTTTTGATGTGTGTTCAGTCGTCACTATGTTCACTCTAGATGTTATATTGCAATGTTCATTTTCCTACGAAACTAATTGCCAAGACCAGGGATCAGGTCATCCCTATGTTAAAGCTGTCAATGAATTGGGTAGACTATTATCAAAGCGGGTAATGAATCCATTATTACATTCTGACTTGATCTATTACCTTACTCAAGATGGCCGACAATTTAGAAAACATTGCATTTATGTGCATAGCATAACAGAAGATATCATTTTGAGTCGAAGAGCTGCTTTGAAGAAAAACAATGCCACAAGCGAAAGAAAAATAAGTTCTCGAAGAGGATGTCAAGATTTTTTAGATATTTTATTAATGGCTAAGGATGAACATGATATTGGATTAAGAGATAAGGAAATTCGTGATGAAGTTGACACGTTTTTATTTGAGGGTCATGACACTACTGCTAGCGCGATCTCCTGGACATTGTATTCTATTGCTCAACATGGTATAGTGCAGTGCCGTTTACAGAAAGAAATTGATTCTTTGTTGTACAACAGAAAGACAGATGACTTGTTAGCATCAGATTTAAATCAGTTAATGTATTTGTCAATGTGCATCAAAGAATCACTTCGCCTCCACTGTGTTGTGAGTGCTATCATGCGTCAAGTAACTAGAGATTTTACAGTTGACAATGGGAAGACTATACCTGAAAACACATTAACTAGCATACTTATATACTGTATACATCATAATCCACATATTTGGGAAGATTCATTAGAATTCAGACCAGAAAGGTTTTCCCCAGAAAACATCGATAAAATTCCAACATTTTCTTATATTCCATTTTCTGCTGGCCCTCGGAACTGTATTGGTCAGAACTTTGCTCTGCATGAAATAAAAGTTATACTTGTTAAAGTGTTACATAGATTTTTTCTTGAATTAGACCCTTCTCATAAACCAGGAAAACTAGAAAGTATGGTTATGAGGGCTGAAAATGGAATAAAGATTAAAGTAACTCAAAGAGGAAAAGGACAGTATATGTTTGAAGAATAATTCAAGAAAATAAAGGATTATTATGATGTAATAATGTGATTGTTTTTAACTTTTACATGATATCAAATAATGGTATTGATTTTATATCACTATCTGACCTTATTTAAAACGAGATTGAGTGATGGGGCATATACCTCCAAAAGTTGAGAATGATTTGTCAAGTGCTTTCAAGATCTTGAAGGCCAAGGAATTGGCAATTATCATTGAATAATAAACTGCATAAAGTTATTCATTATTTATGTCCTTTAGCCAGAGCATGAAACCTATATTCCATGAAAGTACATGTATGTGTATTTCCTTTCTGTAATTTCAGGTAATTGTTTTCATAACTGATGTGAATATATGTAAATGTTCTGAAAATGATTTTTCACAATTTTGTGTGGACAACTGAAGGCTGCCAATAATGATATCCAAAATAGAAATCCTTAATATGAAACCACATGAGCAAAATTATTGTTGCTTTTTGAATTACACAGAAGATAAATGGTTTATTTCTGATGTTATTTTTAATGTAATTTAACTATTGTAAATTTTAGGTTCAAGCAATGCAGTAGTGGATAGATCTGGTACACCGGACAGTTTATCAAGTATTGGTTCTTCTTCTAGTAATTTATACAGACAACAGCAACAACAGCAACAACCTACCCCTGTACAAACACCTTCTCACTCCCAGGCACAACCCCCTCAACCTTCACAACCCCAACAACAACAAACTTACCAACAACCTGGTTATGGTCAACAAACACCAACACAAACAGCAGCTTATTCTGCTCAAGGTCAAAATAATTATGCTGGAGCAAGCCAACAGCAACAGACACCTGCTCAGCAAACTCCTTATAACCAAACTCAAGGTGCATACAAAATTTTTATTGATAACTATACAAGATAAACTTCTTAATTTCCAAATTTATTAAATATTTATCGAACCTCTTTTGGCTTGAAGTTGATCTTGAAAACAAGTTGATAACCTGTGAATTTTTTTATTTTTATTTGCTTCATATTATTTGAATTAACCTATAGACTTATCCCTTTCCTTAACCATAGCTTAATCTGATTATTTAATCAACCATTTTTGAATTTGTATTTTGACTAAATTAAATGTGTATATCTGAAAACAGATTCCTTATTTTGGTTATTCCAATAATATTAATATCTGAATATGGTTTGGTGCATCAATAATTAAATTAAATGATTTTTTTTTATTGTGTAGGATATCAGTATCCACCAGCACAGCAACAAGGATACAACCCTGGACAACCTAATCAACCATCACAGACTGGACAGCCTCAACAAGGGTATCAACAACAACCTTATGGATTTCAACAAGGTGGTCAACCATCTCAACAAACAACACAAGGTTATCCTCCCAACTACCAAGTAAGTTGTATTGGAATATTGAGTATACTATTAAAATTGAAGCTCACAGCTTCGTTTCACAAAATAACTATAAGACAAGAAAGCTGCAACCTGACCGGCCTATTGTGAAAACTTCTAAATTCAGTGGGTATGAAACAAAGAAAATTCATCACATTAATTGTAATTGTTTTGTAGGGACAAAAGGTGCCAGGATATGGACAGCAACAACAACCGCAACAACAACCAGGAGTGCCTGGTACACCTCCTACACAAGCTGCTGGTGGTAATCCTTACGCTAGAGGACAGGGTACTGCTGGTTATGGTGGTGGTTATCCAAGACCATCAGGGGGTTACTCACAAGGATATCAATAATCAATTTTAATGATTACACTTTTATTTACTTCTTGGAAGGGGTAAAGGGGGTGGGGGGATTAGAAGTGCATTGTGTTTGTTTAGAGGAAAGTTGCAAATTAGTTTCTGTAAAAAGCGTATTCATAGAAAATGTCATTCATATCTGTTAGGATTAATCTCCTCATCAGTTCTTGCTCTGTCCTTATAGGGTCATGTCATTTATTTCAAAATATTTCTCCAGGCTTTATCTAGGTTATATAACTGTACTTATTACTTCTTACTAATGTTAGTTAAGAAAGTGTCATAAGAGCCAGGTTTGGAAAGTATCTTTGGTTGTTTAGTATAAATTTCAAATCTCTTGTTTTAATTGATGCTTTCTGCATATTTTGCTGGACAAATTCATTATTAGAAAATAAGAATGAATGTGATGGAGATGTTAGTAAAGGTTATACATTCTGAAATATGTACATAATAATTACATACAAATATTTTAAAATGTTAATATGATATATATGTAAACATATTGTCTTATTGTATATAAAATTTATATGTTATTTGTAAAAGTATTTGCAGTGAACAAATAAATGATATGTTAAGTTAAATGTTCAAACTTAAATTAAGTTGCCATATTTTCAAACTCTTTTGTTTGAGAAAATGGTTTGCCTGACCATGGTTTGTTAGTGTATCACATTTAGGGAATTGTAAATCTTTAAAATATACTTATTTTTTCTGAAAAAATCAAAAAGTTCATATTTTAAATCTGAATAATTTGAAGCCTACAGGAATGACTGCTACAAGAACAGCCAGAAACTGTTCTGAATATTATAAGCTATTTGGTATCATATTGATAATATTTTCTATAGCATCATTGGATCTAAACGTAGACTAGTGTTTTCAATCATGTAAATCAAGGTGGTTTCTTTTTTCTCAGGATTTAACGGAGTATCTGACTACAATCCATAGATCATTAGTATGGATTTAATATTTCTTTGGTTTTCGTTTATTAAATATATCTTTAAAACTTATATGATTATATTTCCCGATGTTATTCATGTTTGGAATTTTTCATATTTGTAGTAATTCTTTGTAGTATAATAGAATATAAAGACATGTAGTTCTAGATATTTTTCTTTCACACCTATTTGTTGTTAAACTTTTGTTTTGAGAAGAGATATTTGTAGCTCAAATAAAGTTCTGTCCAAATTTCAAGAATCTAATGAGATAATGAGATTTATTGCTTCTATTTAATATTTATTAAGTGTTAAGTTCTATCATTATTGCTATGAATATTGTGCAATAATAATTGTAATGGGTGCTGATATGCCATAATCAAACCTTTATTAGTTTTGTTTGTGAACTGTTGAATCAAAATGTTGATTTCTAGGTTACTACAGAGGTGAAAAGTAGAGTTACATACAAAAAGTAACCCCAAACTACAAATTTGCAATTTAATCAGATTTTGTTCTAGATGGAAACTAGTAAACCATGTTTTAATAAGTTTTGCCTCTTGTTTATAAGTTTTTTTTATTCGGGTAGTTTATATAGTTAGAATTGTATATATATATATATATATATAATGTATACACATGTGAAAAGTTCAGCAGTATGAAATTATTGTGATGTATCTTACTTGTATCTGATGCTTTCAACATTAAATAATCTTTAAAACCTTGTAATTTTGTACTTTCAATGAATGAATGAATTGTGGTTTTCCAAAAGGTCCAAAATGTCATACATTCTGACTAAAAGTTCAGAACTTTGTGTAACTTTTCAAAATGGAATTCAGATACCTGAATCCCTTATTTCTTCTGTTTGTTGTTAAGCACTACGGCCTCTTGACCACCTTATAGGCCTACTATTATATTTGATTATATATTGTCAGTCATAGGTTTCCTAATGCTTTAGTAGGCCTACACTAAAATCTTCCTATGTGGCCAAGTTCTAGGTAACAGGTTGTTACACTTTATGCCATGCATTCATTGACATGGCTACCAGAAAACATAAACTATTATGTATAGCGCATATATAAAAATTACCAGTCTAAGATTAACCTTAGCAAATGGTCGATTTGACATTTCATTGGGCGAAATGGCAAAACCAGTTGATGATGGAGTCTGGATAATCAAAGGTCAATGGATGATACTTCCGCTTCCGCTTTCCAAGAAAAACAACAATACTGGAAGGGATTATTGATTTTTAAATGCATATATTTCGACTTATATTCAAATTTTCAAACTTTATTTCACCTTTCCTTAATTTCACCTAATTCTTCATCATTTGTACCTGGTAAGATTAATGCTTTTATATTGGATTCATTTGACTTCGTTGGTTGGGCTTTCATTTTCAATTTATCATTACTGACACTGTATCATCACAATCAGTATCAAATCTGCGATTCTAAATTAGCTGAAGCTCTGTTTTTAAGTTTCTCCAGTGTTATGATAACCCGTGTTAGTAGGCCAAATCCCAAAGCAAATCCAAAGTTATGAATGCATAATCAGAGTTGAAACAAAATCATGCATTAGGCCTAGGCCTAGTTTTATTAGTAAATATGAATAGAATGATTCCATTATCTAGTAAATGCCATGGTCCAAAACCATTCCTAATTTTAAAAGAAAATTGAGTGTATAAGAAGATTTATTCTCTAAATGCTGATTTTGCGCATGTTGGATAAGCTTATCTCTTTAATGAATACAGAGTATTTTTTTCTTATGTTACAGGTTGACAAACAGCACATAAGACAAGTTCAGGTAGTTAATATGTCACGATTAGACGATATCAATCATCACAGTGAAAGACAACCCTTACATAAGAATGGTTTAGATGAGAGTGGTCACCCCTTGGAAAATGCAGACAATGATCATGTTTCAGTCTCCTTAATTCAACATGGTCGTATCACAGACAGAAATGGTCAGAGTACATACACAGGGGACTCCATGTTTCAAACAGCTGAAAACCCATATCGTGACACCACTGAATCAGATCCAAATTTACAAAGAATTCCTTCTACAGATCTGGTTCCAAGACCCTGGCAAAGTTTCCGCCAAGTTTTGATTGTGTCATACATCAGTTGTATCTGTTGTATTTTTACTGGATTTGCCGCGGTCAGATACTCACAGCGTGCTCGTCGCCATCAAAACAAAGGACTTATGGGAATGGCTCAGAAAGACATTAAGAAAGCAGTCATGTTTATTTATGCTAGTTTTGCCATTGGTTTAATGTTGATAGTATTTATTCCCATTATTGCTGTTTGTAGCAGTAGTGAAGGTTGTTGAAAAGCTCACTTTAACATCTCAGTATCAGAAAATAGTCTTGTTATTAAGGTTTTTAATGTATGCTTATTATGGCTTCTTTTAAGGTCATTGTTATTGAGATCATTGTTATTTGGATAATGATGTTTTCAAAGCATATCACCATTGAAGATGAAGTCCTGCTTTCATATGCTTCTTGGAAAAATATTTTAAAAGGTTAATTTAATACAATTTGAAACTATGGAAGTATTTGTCAAATTGCAATTGCAAAAAATACTTGTAATTTTCATGATTCAGAAAAGCTATAAAGCCGTACTCATGGAACTAAACTTTATTTGGAAAATATTTAATTTTAGGTAATTGGTTCAAATTGGAACATTTTTTTTTATGATAATAGAAAATCATGGTTGAATCTCTACTCCAATTCAATAGAACTTTAGTCCACAATATAAACAGTTTATACCTTTACTTCATTCATACATTTTTTATTTTTGTGAATATTGGACTAAAATGTAGTTTGTTTTTTTAGTAATTTAATCATATATTAAAAAATATTGTAATTTCAAAGTATGAAATGGCTGTTAATTATCATGATACAAACAAAATTGCCAATTCTGTTTCGATTTTCTTGGTATATTGATCTTCCAAAATTTACTAGGTATAGAGCATTCCTAAATTGTAGGGTATTTACATGTATGTGATGAAAATCATCTTTGAATCTGATGTTAGTGATATTGTATTAATGATCTTTGGGACAATATAAAGAAAGGGAATTAGAAATTATTATATCTATGTGTCAGCAGATTATATTTATCTTCATGTATAAGGTACAATTAGTTCTATGTGTGATTAGAGAACCACATTGAGATGTTGAAAGTAAATAAAGGTTCAGGATTTATTGAATATATTTCTATTTTAATTTAGATTGATTACCATTTTTAAAGTGCAATATTTAGCTTATATTTTTTATTGAATGTTTAGGTTATATATGTTATAGCTTTTTTTACTCCTTTTCTATGGTGTTTTAGGGCTTAGATTTAAAACCACCCTTGCTTATTTTGTTACGGCTTTTTATAATTGGTGATTTTCATCTTGTGTAAATCATAAATGTCTTCAAATTAGTAATAGTGTTTAGGTCAGTAATTTTCATCCATTACATTAGGAAATTATTATAAGCCTTTTCAGCATTTGTTTTCCACAAAACCCTAATTTTGTGATTGTTACAAAAATAGTCAATTTTGCTCATTTCTGAAGTAGATATTTTATATACAGATAATTAAATTTGACAACAAGAGAAAGCTATCTTTTGCAGGTTTAAGAACTTTTGTTAAGTATATGAGATTGCTCTGGTGAAATCAATAGTAACCTTTGTGTCTCATAACATGGGAAATATGAATACTGTTGTTTTTTTATTAAGGAATATTGTTTTAAGTACAACTATAGATTAATATCAATATATATATTTTTTTTATATGATGGCATTTCTTGCAATAGTTTCTAGATTATAAGCATGTAAAGTAATCCTGGTGATGATATATTATAGATATATATAGATTACTATAATTTCTTCTATATTTTAATTATTTACATTCCTTTTATTATTAACATCAATAAACTGTTGATTCTACTGATTTTGCATCATTATTTCTTTTTATTATATTTATTTGTAATCATATGCTTGACTACTTGCTGAGCTATTATTTCAGTTATTCATTGATCATCCATATGGAAGGATCATCCTTTGGACATTCATTTTTATTTCAGAGGAACACTTGATACATCATACATTTCTGAGAGAGGACATTTTCATTTTTCTGTGCTCCCGATTTAAAGCCATTCACATATCTTTGATTCCAAAGAATGCAAGAAACACAAGTCATGCAAAATTACTTAGCCACAGCAAGAACTATCATAATTAATGTGTATGATGGAGCCTAGTTTTGGTTTTCAGCATCAGACTACAAAGCATACTGGGCAATGAATTTAAAATTTAATTTAATTTTAGACTTATACTTTAAATGTACAGGCTCATCACAAGTACATTTTGACGCTCCACAAAGTATGATACAAATGCTATGTTTTTAAAAATCATAATTAACCAACAATTGGAATATTACATTTCTACAAAGATAGTCATTATAAATTTCTATAAGAAATCATTCATTATAACAGAGTATTTCTCAGTTTTTCATAAATACTAAATATCAATTTATGGTTTTCTTCCATTGAATTCTGCTCTGAACTTCCCTTCATTTCTTCTACTGCTGCCTTTATTTCCTGTAAACAATAATAACAATCAAAGTTACAAGCTGAATAAAATGCAATCAGATGTTTTTTGCAGTTAACCACAGAAAGTACAAAATATCTAGATCTGCTTCTATTTTACACTTGCATCCCAGCTATCTTGATATCCTTTTATAACAAACCTGAAAAATGTACTTGCCTGTAAAGTACGGATATATTTTTGGTATTCTTTGGAAGTGACTGATTCCAAACATCTAGGAGAAGATTTCTGAAAATGAATATAATTTTGATACAGTTTTCATATTATATTTAGGGCCGTATGCAGCCCTCTTACCTTGACTAAAGTTGAACTTTGGCTAAAGTCGAACTTTACAAAGATAGGATTAAGGCTTTCATTTTCTACATTTGATAGTCAAATTTAAGCATGACTTTCATAAAGATCGACCAGTGCATACCTTAAGTTCAACTTAAGTCTAACTTTAGTCAAAGTTTAGGTAAAGTACGAGCGCTTCATATGGCCCTTAGTATCTTGTATTCTGCTTGCCAAGAGACCCATTTAAGAATGTGGTTGATGGAGCTTAATTACTGTGGAGAAATACGTGCAATGAAAGAAACATGTAAGTTGTCTATTGTAAGAGGAGTTTTTTTTAAGCTTAAATTTGGAATAGTTAACCATTAATAGGTTGCAATCTGTTGTCTGAAATTCTCAAAAATTCATTAGAATAGAACTAACTTACCTTTATATTATAAGAAATGGCAGATTTTACACTTGCTAATAATTGACAAGAATTAGAGTTGATGTGAATTAAATAGTCATCATGTCTCTCTCCTCTGGATATAGATATAGACACCATATTACCACTTACATTATACAATCTACAAACACCATTTTCAATTGGCAACTTTCCTTTTTTTTTACTTGTTAAAACCAACTCTAATATCACTTCTGGTGACAATTTCACTAGAAAATATCATAACATATTTGAGTGCATTTCATATTGTTAATTTTCAGCAAAAATAGAAGATATTTTCAGTTGAAATGACGTCTCTTAGTGAAATTGGTTATATCAAATAAAAACTCACAAAATATTCTTATAAAGACAAAGCCTATCAGCACTATTTTGATCTTGATAGTATTCAATTCATATATAAACACAGCTAAAATTTTATTAATCAAAATAGAAAATGAAATTAAATGAAATGAGTTTTAATCAAAAATATTCAGACCACAGTAGCAGAGGCTCTTATGTTACATTTTATAACTGGAAGGTATTATCCATACCTTTTTCTGAATGAGGAAAACATTGTTGAATCTGAGCTGAAGACACTAATAATTGAGCTGTGTATATTTTATTTTCAATCATCACATCATCAGTTTTCCTAATGTAACTAGAAAGTTCTCCACTTAGGAGAAAGTCTAAACTATTAAAATTACATCCAAAAATAGGAACACACAAGTTTTGTGACAAATCTTCAAGTGAAAATTCAGTGCTAAGAATGAAGAATAGTTGTAAACTTTCTGAATTTGCAGAAAGTGGGATCTTAATCTTAAGACTTTGTCCAGGATCTAATCCTTGCTTTAGTGAAACAGAATGAGATGTGATTTCTGATTGGTCATTTGTTACATGAAGCAGGAGTGACCAATTAGAAGAAATTTTACATTTACTCTCATTAGTCAATTCTAACGATAGGAAAAATGCTTGAGAGACACCAACTGAATCTGCTTCTATTTCTACACTACAGGAGATTAAAAGTTTTCCACAAGTTTTTGAAATCATTAAATTAGCAGTGATATTTAACTGCTGAATCAGAGAATTTAGTTTCTTTTCATTTTCAGATATATTCCCAAGTTGAAGACGTTTCTGGTCAATGCCAAGTAAAATGTCCTTTAAATCTCCAGATATTGATGGTTGAGAGGAAACGTTACAAGGAAGTGATAATATGGTATTATTGAAAGTTTGGCAAACTAAACAAAGCCCTGAAAAAGTAAATTAAAATAACATTAAAGGGCCACACACTCTTAAAACATCAAACAACCAAATGCACCATTTGTCCTTACCAGACAAATCTGTTTTGACTTATTCAATGGTTAGTTAGCCATTAGCTTTTATAGGATGAAAGAGATACCATTTACAACCCTATAAAACTAAACCCTTTCTATTGATTGAAATATTTCATCTGCAAATATATATATTTTGAATACATTATTGACCCTAAAATAAAAAAAAGTAATAAAAATGTTATAGATTACCATGTTGGCTGTCACTAGTAGAGATCTGTATATTTTTAACTTTCACATCATGTAGTAATGTACTCTCGGTTTCTAGTCTGTTTTCACTCTCAATATAATAAAATTTACTTTTATAAACATAGTTTCCATTAGTGTGATATAAATACATATCTGATTCACAACATACATCTAGAATTGGTCCATTTATCACAGAGGAGTACCAACATTTCTTACAGTTAAGCTTAAAATACAACAACAGTTTTCCACTGGAGGAAATAACAACAAGGGCAGGTAACTCCTTTGATGAGTTGACATCATACAGTGATTCTGTTTTACTCTCTGTACTGTTTGTATAACAAATAACAACTTTAATAAAAACAATATTTACAATACTATTCCCAATATCACATAGAACTTCATATTGTTTACTTGACTTAATTAAATCATGTTTCACAAATGAATAAAACACATGACCATCTTGACGACAAAACAACATCACAGGTGACTGAAGTTGATCACATTCTTTAGAAAACAAATCTATAAACAATATTTGGGGAAGAATAACATGTTTCGATAGGGTTTGAAAACCACTGAAAGTTTTTGAATACAGTAAAACCACTTTAGTTTGTTCTGAGCTCGTACAAGTGATGAAGTTAATAGTCTGTGGAAAATTTATGACTAATTTCTCCTGTCTGTCACTTACATCCTTTTCATTAAAAATTCTCAAGCTAAAACTATCAGAGTTTTGAAATGTAACAAAAACAAGGCTTTCATAAGCATTTACACCATTTATATTGGGACATTTCAATAGTTGGTGATAATCAGTAAGTAAGTTTGTATGAAATGGCTGTGCCTCTACTTTAATCAATTCTAATGATGCTTTATCTTCCCGTTGAATAAAAATACAATCGTCATCTGCTTCTAATGTATCACTGAAATGAAAGATTTAAAATTCTAATATTAATGCAAAGTAACTACATTACACAATAAAAATCTACTTAGACTAACATACTAAGACAAAAAATTTAAATATTTAACAGTAACATGGCATATATCATTTAATAAAAAAATTGTAATGTACAATAACAACAATAAAATGCCAGTTAAAAAGAAAAACTTTAAAAGTTTAGCTTAAAGGAATTCATATTAAGAAGTAAAAGGTTTAGCCAATATATATGTATTGGGGACACTTTCAGCCATTTTTGGCACCATTTTGATCAGCCTTTTATGGTTCCTTTAATTCCAGGAATACTTGACCAGATTATGATGTTATAATATTCGAAACTAAATCCATTTATCATTAAGATAACATTCACCACATTTTCAGATTACCTGCATTGTTGATCATCATTGGTAACGTACAATATGATTTCATCTTGGTTTATTTTATATAGACCACTCAAACAGACTATAAAGAGCAAATTTCTCTCTTCATTATAAAACCATGATCGTATTTCATTGGGTGCTGATATTACAAACTGAAATTATAAACATAAGATATATTAACTAATGTGTTCATTCTAATAGAATATTACCATACTGTTTTGACAATGTTTTTAAATCAATGTATGTGTCAGATGGACAGATTCATAAAAAAGGTTTGTTAAAAAGTTTGGATTTTCTTTCAGCATAGAACTGATCAAACTGAATGATGCTATTACTATTAGAATTAGAATATCAAGACATTGCTAATGCCTATGCTAAATATACATTAACAGTACCGGTATATTCTATATTTCTTTAACATTTAAGGCAATGATACTCATTATTTATAAACTTTAAGCATTTAATGAGGTGTTTTCTTTTATGTATGAATAAAGAATAAACGTGTTTGGATGTCTTTGATGGTATTCGGTGGTGAAAAGACGTTTGTTATCAATAAACCATACCTTAGGAGTTTCAAATTCATTCGATACATAGATCTGAAGAATGTCATAATTTGAATAAAATAGATACTTGTTCATCAGGAATCATAATCTGGGATTAGACAGAAATAAAATAATATAAAAGTTTGTGAGGAAATAAATAAGCACTTTATAAAGTTTGGAAATACCGCCTTTGTTTACAAATTATTTCCCTTGACTTACTTTCGGTCTTGGTTTCGATCAAATTGTGAATTTCAAAAATGAACCCTTTAATTTTTTGTATCAAAATCCTAGATAAAAGAAAATTATGCATCTTTTGATACAAATATATTCACATATATATATATATATATATTGAGTCTACTATTATTAAATGACCACTTCTGAAATCTAAATCAAATGTTATAATGTTTTGTGTTTTCTTTCTTTCACTAATTTACAACAAATTTGCTGGTATCCGAAAATTGATTGGATAACAATAAAAGGGCAACCAATCCAGTGTAGAACGGGAGGAAACATCCAAATCAATTCACACTGAGATTACGTTCAGTTAACAATCGAATATAATAATCAGCAGGTCGTGTTGTTTTTTAACAAAGATGTACGGACATTAAATAAGGGCCATTAAACTTATCATTTTGCATTATGCATAATATATATCAAATGCACATTAATAGCATATTAACTCTCGAAATGGATACATCGAAGAAGCATAGGCATAAGGCATACACTATTTCGATATTAGGCCTAAAAAACAAACCCACCACATTACTTATTTCTATGGACTAATAGAATACATCATTTACTTATTACTTTTTTCGGTCATAATGATAAGATTCAAGATCTCCTTTTATCTTTCTACTTATAATAACTTTTATTTGCTTCAGCAGCATTATATTTTGTCTCTTAATCTGTATTATCATAGATATTATTAGCAATAGTCAATATGATATACTATTAGATGATGATGAGAATGTAATCCCATAAATACTGTATCATTTTTTGCTATTTTTGCTTTGTTAGTCACACAACACGTTAGACTGCCTGGACTGGTTGTATCGGACTGACAACCATATTCCAACGTGTATATTGTTCACATAGCCATAACAATGGGGATTTTTGCGGCCATTTTCTCACCACGCTAGCGAAAAATGTCTTAATTTTTTCAAGTATATTTCTCTGTAAATTATTATTTAGACCAACAGATCGACACTAAAGATGGAGGCTGTAAGAGCTTTCAACAATGAGGTAAATTCCATCCTCAAATCTTCTGAATTTTATTAAATGAAATAATGAACGGAACGTACAGTATACAACCCCACTGATCCCGTGAATGTGATAGGAGGGATACCAAATCAGAAAATCCACTCTCTTTGAGCTTTAGTAATGAGTTGACTTGACCCAGACTTTTTCAGAGTTTCTCAACTAATCATGCCCTTTTCAAAGCATTTATCACAGTAGATTTATACTTAGATAAAGCAGAGCTTTGACTTTAATGATTGAAAATGAGTCTTACGAGCAGGAAGCTGAAAAGAAAGCACTTGTTTTGGAAAGTGCCTACAAGAGCAAGTTTTAAGTATGGATACCTGATTCAATGAAGTCAAAAGGTCATCGCAGATAAGAACATGATCGTCAAGTACCGGTACCGTAACATGGGGACAAAAGGAAACAATCCAAAATACCAAAACACGATTTAATGAGCAGAGTGAAAACACTTAAATACTTGTCAATATTTACAGCTGTCACACTCATTTTCAAAATCTTTCACTTGTAGAGTGAAATTGGATTGTTTATCTTCCAAGTGATCCCATAATGCAAGACACATTATCTCCCATATATGGGAAGTAATCAGAACTTCAAAGTGGTTTATTAGTATGAATTGAAAAAGTATATTCTATAAATTAGAAATATTGATATTCATTTCATTTGCATGAAATTTCAAGGCCTAGTCAAATTGATGAAAACGAATTGCATTTTTTTCTTATTTCAGTTGTCCTCCCTGTATGAGGTGCGACCACCTGTGTCGAGAGCTAAAATGACCCATATTACCAAGACAGCAATTAAAGCAATTAAATTTTATAAACATGTAGTTCAAAGTATAGAAAAGTTTATTCAAAAGGTGAGGTGTACATTAGTATAAGTTGTTTTTATTTGAACATTTGTAGCGGTATTGTATGTATGTATGTAGAAAAAGTTCCAATGACTGACCTTTAAAATTGCACAACGTCAAGCTTTTATCTGTATGGAATAAAAGGAAGGATTGTTTACTCGTAAATGTATTTTTTTCAGTGCAAACCAGAATACAAAGTACCAGGATTGTATGTTATTGATTCAGTTGTGCGTCAATCAAGACATCAGTTTGGTGTTGATAAAGATGTGTTTGCTCCAAGATTTACTAAAAACATTGTCTCAACATTTCAAAATTTATTCAAGTGTCCAGTTGAAGAAAGGGTGAGAGAATTTTATTATTATTATAAACTCTATTTCAGAAATGATAAACTGTTATTCTGCTCATGTGACGTATATCACAATGTCTCATTTATGGCTGCTGCTGATACTCCTTAATGCATTTCATTTAATTTCATTTCGTTTATGGCAGCCTCCTTGCTTACAACTTGTATTCAAGAGGAATTGTTTATATAAGTTACCATTCATAGCAGATATTTTCAGGGTTGGCTCATGTTCATATGATAATTTCATTGATTTCTTTTACAGAGTAGGGTAGTGAGAGTATTGAATTTATGGCAGAAGAATAATGTTTTTCTGGTAGAAATAATCCAACCTTTATTGGATTTAGCTGCTGATCCTAATAATGTTCAACTTGTGCTAGCAGGTAATGGCACCAGTTTACATCCATACTAGTTTCATATTTCTTTTATAATTTCGAATATACCACCTTTGTTTTTTTATGAATATGATGTTGGATAAAGTACCTTTACTATTACAGTTTAGTGGCGAATGAGTCTTTCTTTTGTGTTCATGCCTTTAAAAAAAAGAACGTTGAACCAAAATTGTTCATATCATTTTATGCACTCTATATTTTAGTGCATGGTTGTAAAATATATATTTTTCAATTTTCAGCCCAGAGAGCTGTAGAAAATACTTCCAACTTGAAACATCCCCCAGTTCCTTCTTTACCTAAACAGTTAGCAGGTCCTGTCCATGAAAAAAGTAGTAGTTCTGGCAGTAAAAAACATCCATCGGGAAAGAAAGATGAAGCTACCCAAAAGGAAATGTTAAATACAGTAACTATGTTGTTAAATGAAACACAAGAGGTAAATGTGACCATTCACTGAAACTTTGATGCAGTTGAGCTGCATCATAAGACCCCTATTAATGTAATGAACAGTTATGTTATCAGAATATCAGAGTTTATTACGTCATAGCTATTAATCTCTATTATCTAAAACCCATTATTTCACATATCATGTCTTGCTTACTTAAGTATTGTATACTTTTAAAGGGACAGTCCAGTCTTAGTGCTCAACAACAAAAATTACATCAGCTGCAACTTTTACAAAAACAATTAATGCAGCAGACTGAAATGATGCAAAAACCTCAACAGAAACAAACTCCAGTTATAGATGCTAACTTATTAGCCCAAATACAAACATTGACTAATCAATTACTGAGTAAAACTACTGATGGTAAAGGTCCACCAGAACCAGCAGGCTTTAATAAGGTCAGTATCTTTTGATTATGTATGTGTTGTCATTTTTTATGAAAAAAAAAATTTACTTCCTATTTGTGGTGCAATAATATTATAGAAGAATTTAATTACTTAAAGTGACAGTTGTCCATATTTATTACCAATCATACCTTAGTCTCTTAAACGAGGATTTTTTAGCTAAGCCAATCAGTAATAGTGTTCACAGCTCACCATCGAAATTTGAGCCTTCAAATCCATGTTTGTCCAGTATCATCTGTGTTCAAAAGTTAAAACGACGATTCGTCTATTCTTGAGACACTGCCAGAAAAGAGATCTATAGAAATAGAAAAAGAAGCTTTTGAAGGAATTATGCCATTTTCATACTTGCTAGTACTTCTAAAGTACTTATATTCAAGACTCAAATCAACCCCTGAAAATGGCGCATCTGTCCCTTTATAACGTGTCAACATTTTGTCTGATTGAGTACTTTGAATGATTTGAAAATTAATAAAGTTATTGAATTATTTTTAGAAATTATTAGATTTTGATTATGGGGAAAGTGATGAAGAAGATGGAATGAAAGAGGATGCACATGCTTTACAAGGGTAAGTAGTTAAAGGTGTATACTAAATGTTTGTTGTGTAAAATGAGATATAGAACCAGGACAGCAATTTCAGACTTTCATTTTCATTTATTTTTTCAGGCTTTTATAGTGGACTTCTATAAAAAATACTACTGAAAAAAGAAGCAATTGAGAAGTTGTTTGTGCTGAAAAAGTATCAAGATTCTTTGCACTTTATCATTTAACTTTTAAATCCTTTTATTCCAGAACTGTTCAGAATATTCTTAATGATCCTAATATTATGCAAAGAATTCATCAGATGTCTCAATCCCTACACAATCCTGATATGACAGCTGAAGAACAATTACATCAACAACTCTTACAACAACAAGAACAATTTGATAAAGAAATTGGTCAAGTATGTATTTTATCTATCTGGCTATCTATCAATCTTATCAGCATAACCAAGCACTAAATGCTGTTAAAGCATGAACTACGCTAGCCAATATTTGTTTTCTATTTGATATCTTGGAAGTTGTTCTCATGATTCAACAACTAATTTCAGTTTGTAGATTTTGTCAAATCTTAGTTGATAATGAAATTGTAAAGACATCTTTTTCATGTATCATTGTTGTAGAGCTCTGGTATGATGATGCATGGGTCTATGGGGAGACCACAACCACATGAAGTTGTGGATCTTGATTCTGGTGTAGAGATAATTGAGATACCCCCACCTCGTGAAGAACGTAATGAGCGCAGACACAGGGACAGGTATGGTTATATTTATGTATTATGCAGTTGATATTGTAAACACATTATTTTACCTTTACAGATAAAGAGACACTTATGATTTTGAACAACTCTGTCTGGTTTTTATTTTCTCTATAATATTTATGATTATTTTTAGATCACCAAGAAGGCGTTCAAGGAGATCACGATCCCGGTCACGTGATAGAGAAAGAGGTGATAGAAGACGTCGTTCTAGATCACGTGATAGACATAGGAGGTCAAGGTATGGACATTTATGGTTTTAGATGTAGATATTTCAGTTCTGTTTTAATATTCCTGAAAATAACATTCTGTCAGATTTGCAAGGAAAAGAGATGACTGATTTTGGTATCATTTGAATGGCAATCAAGATTTTGCTGTGATTATAATCTTTCAATATATACATTGAAAATGCTATGATTATCTTTCTAGATCTCGGGATCGTGAACGAGACAGAGATCGAGAACGTCAGAAAGAAAAAGATAAGGAAAGACGTAAAAAGGGATTACCACCAATCAAATATGAAAATCTCAGTGGTAGGCTATTGATATATTTCAATTTGAGAGAGAAGAGACAACATGTATCTCATTGCATTCTATATGTTTTTTTTTATTACAAGCCTAATGATGTGAAGACAGCAACTTAACCTGATGACCCTCCATTTAATTTCAGTGTGTAGTAAAACAATTTGGTTAGGACATGTTGCTAGAAATACTACTGAAGATGAATTAAAGTTTGAAATAGAGAAGTATGGTACAATAGAAAGTATTAATGTAAGTAGTTATGAATTGAACATAGACTATTATTTCATTATGAAACATTTTCATTCAAGCAAAGCTTGTTCGATACCAGTAATCTTTGTGATAAATTATACCATATTTAAATAACTTGATTAAAACAGCATTTCTTCAACTGAGATTGGACACTCTTACTGATATTGGCAGGGCTTTAATGCTGAAAGAGAATTTTACCAGTTGTATTGTATGGGGATAGGGGATGATATTGTGATGCTTTAGTGAACACTAACCCTTACTTATTGAAAGATTCTTATTAATGTAGGTCATCAAAGCCCTTGTCAGAAAATACTTTCCTTCAACTTTCTTATATTTTGACAATGTTTTCTGAGTGTTATGTTATGATTACTTGTAGATGATACCTCCAAGGGGATGTGCATTTGTGTGTATGACAAAAAGGAAGGATGCAGCAAAAGCAGTTGAAAGATTGCAGGGCATGAAATTAAATAGTAGTTTGTTAAAAGTAAGTAAAATCGAAAAGATAATCACAGTCTAGACATTAAGTATACATTGTCATGTGTGTCAAAATATGGCCAATTTGTATTATTTCATTTGCCAACTTGTTAATGAAACATTGAAGCATGTTGGTAGAATTTTCCTCAATTTTATGGCCATATCTGCAAGGGAACCTTGAAATATAATGTGTGTTTTTTCTGTCTTAAGTATGCCAATCCAATCAAGACTTACAGATAACATGTTTATGTAGTTAATAAAACTGGAATTTTATAGGTTGCATGGGCTCCTGGATTTGGCGTAAAAGGTCCCCAATATAAGCAGATGTGGGATGTTGATTTAGGTGTGACATATATACCCTGGAATAAATTGCCATCTGATTTACATCAATTAGTAGAGGGTGGTGACATAGACCCAGAAACCTTACCGGAACATTTGAAAGGTGAGTCAAGGTTTGTGTGTGTAGATTAAATTGATATTTTGTTTATATGATAAGTATAAGTTGTTAAAGGGTTATTGCGCTCTTTGCCAGCTATATATGGCTTTGTTTTGATTCGTGTTAATTTCATTTATGGAACCATTAGCCAATATCCTGCACACTGGTATTTAAATTTTGTTAAAGGTTCTGATAAAAAGAGGGCTGACTTTAAAAACCTGTCTTTGTTACAGTAAAATTAAAGTAAAATTTGATTGCTGATATTTTAATAGAAGAATTGTATAAAAATATAATGAATTGTAGATATGAAGTTTGGTACAAGTGAAGATGAAGATGTACAGATTCAAGAAGATATGAGTAAAATGATGACACAGCCTAATATGGCTCATATGCCTTTCCCAGGGGGACAGGGTGGACCTGGTGATCCTAGTCCCTCCCCTGGTCAAGTTCCTCGAGGTGGACCAGCACAAATGCCTGCTGGTAAGTATATATTTTCCTCTCCAAGCAAATTTTAGTCATTGAAAATAATGATATCCCAAGTGTATTAAAAATTGGCAACATTATATAGGGTTGGAAATTGCCCCCTTCATAAGTGGAAAAAGCAGATCAATGCATAATGTGTTCTTTCATTTCCTGTTTTTTGGTGTGTCCAGTCCTTAAGGTAAGGATTTCCCTTGTCCATCACTTGAATACCATTATGTTGGTTTAATGCCACCTCACCTGGTATATGAGACTTGTACTCATTTATTCATTGAATCTCTTCATTTTGTAGGATTGCCTCCTCAGATGCCAGGCATGATGCCTCCTATGATGCTGACAATGCCAGGCCAATTACCAGGGCAGTTACCACCTGGATTGCCACCACAAGGTATGCAGTTTCCACCCGGTGCAGGACCTAACCTTCAATTACCACCAGGACAGATGCAAGGAATGCCTCCTGGCAGTATGTTACCAGCTGGCTTACAGGTATGTTGATTGTCTACAAATCTCCTAGTTTTTTTTTAACAACATAAACAACATGGTACCTGTTGCATCCTTTACCTTATCTTGAATTTTATTATTGTATATTTCTAATATTTTATAAATCTTTGGTTTCAGATGCCTCCAAGTTCTCTTGGTGGACAACCTGTTCTCCCAGGTCAACCAGTTAGTCAGGGACAAGTTGGACTACTAAGCACAAGTCAATTGCAAGGGATGCAATTTCGTCCACCAATGACTTTAGTGTCCTCTTCTTCATCTTTACCTGCTGTGCAAACAGTGTCTGCTCTCGGTGGACCTAGATTTCATCATCAACCTGGTAGCTTAGAGATTCCAACACATCTTCCACCACCTCGATTCCGAATGATGATACCTGGGAATCCTTTATTACGACCTCCATTTAATAATGTGAGCAAGCCTGAAGAGGATGACAATGATTGGCAGACAGACATGGTAGAAGATGTTGATGATCGTATAATACCAACAGGGAATCCTGCATTTGGAACCCCAAATTTTGCTTTACGACCAGGACTTATGCCTTTGCTTCAGAGAGGTGGAGCTCCAAGAATGTTGATACCTTCATTGCTCCCAGGATCTCCAGCACGGCCTACTGGTCCAGGCTCCATGCCATTGTTGGGCAATAGTCCCAGACAACCATTAATGAGAATGCCAGATGCTAGACCTAGCACGCCTAGATTAAGACCTGGTATGCCAGTTTCATCTGAACCACCAACAAGCTCACCAAATACACAAAGTAGACCTATTTTGGGCTCGAGTCCTAGAATGATGGGTCCACCAAGACCAGGACTTTTAGGATTCAGACCTCCAATATTCAACAGATTTTCTAGTCCAAATTTTAGAGAGAGTCAAGAGCCACCAAATTTTAATCGTGAAGACAGATTTGGTCTGCCAAGACCTTTAATGGAAGTTGATCTACGGGGACCACCACCTGGTAGATTCATAGATGGTAACAACGAAAATGAGCCTGAAAATGATTTTGATGGTGACATGTTTAGACGAGAAAAACGGAGAAACAGTAGAGACAATGATATGAAAAATGATCGAGATGTTGATATGGATTTTCACAATCCAGAGAAAAGACCTAGAAATAGAGATCGGTCCAGTCGTCAGAGTAGGTGGAGTGATGTTACTGTAAGCAAAGAATTGCAGTCCTTAGGATCCAGACTGGTTGAGAAAGCCCTATCTCAGTTAGTACCGAAAGAGGAAATGCCACCAAATGATTCTGCTGAATCAAATAAGCCAGCTGATTCTCTTCTTTTGAATCCCGATGTTTCTAACAGTGATGAAGGGGTGCAAAAAGATCATAAAATTGGTCAGCCCTTGTTGTCAACACCAACTGTTAAAACTACACAGCCTCTTTTGCCATCACCTGGAGCACCACTATTGCCATCACTTGGAGCACCTTTGCTACCCTCTCCTGCTGCACCATTATTGCCACCTCAAATTGCACCTGAACAAGCACCTGCAGCTGCTAAAACTGGGTTACCTTTATTACCAACACCAGGTTCTAAAACAACTGAACCAGCTATAACATCACCAACAGTCAAGCCTGTAGTACCCCTTTTACCAACACCTGACATTTCTGAGCCACCACCAGTCGATTCTACTCCTGAAAAACAAGACAAACCCAAAGAATTTCCTGCAGTAGCAGCACCATTGACATCCCCTGCTGTTGCCCCATCTTTGATCTCTCAACCAATTGCAGCACCTGTGTTGACTCAGTCAACAGAGACCCCGGTAGTAGCAGATCCCACACCTGAAGTTGGTGTTGAAGAATCTGGAAAGTTAAATGGACCAGCATCTGTTGAGAATGATAAGAAAACAGACAAGGTGTTAGATCCATCTAATGATGAAAATCACAAAAACGGAGACTTGAACAACACTTCTGAAGTTCAAGTAGAACCAGTATCAAAAGTAGTGACCGAACCTACAGTGGACAAAGTGGCAAGCGAAACAAAAAGTGAAAGTGTTACTCCTTTAATTAATACAGAGGAAAAGCCAACAGAATGTGAAAATATTGTTGATTCAAGTGATAAATGATGTGTGCTAAATTATTAGGCTTATAAATGTAATACTAGTTATTTAACTGTTTTGAGTGGTAATGTGTGTCTAAACGTGGTCAAAGAATAGTGAAGTGGTGGCAATTTTATACCTTTTTATGTGATTTTGAGGTTACATTTCTGTCCTTTAAGTCATCTACTATAGTGGAAAACACCTGCTATTCTTTTTGTATTATTTGAGAGGTTAAGACAGGATTGAGAAATAATTTGAAGCCTAAATATTGAGGGATATATCAGGGATCCTTAGTTAAAATTTGTTGATTTTTTTTCTTTCATGTGTGTACAGTAAGAAATCACGAATATTTTTGTTTTTAAGATTCAGTGTACAGTGAGAGAAATGCTTGTGTTATTAAAAAAGACCTATTTTATTTTTTACTTGAAATTGAACTTTGTGAATAGAATGATTATTTATAAGAAATGAGTGCATAACTGTTGATCCGGTTATTTTAATAATGAAATACAAAAATTTCATAAACAAAGTTATGTGTCCCTTAATTTTTATCTATCTAAATAAAATTATATCTGATTGACTCTAAATCAAGCTCAAAAACCAATTCATTTGAAAAATTTAACAAATAGATTTCTTTTTGGCAGTTGCATATTCCACTGAATTGATATTAGCTAGCTGTTTCAGATATAGCTTTACTTAGATTAGCAGAAAACCATATTTGAAATTGAGACACAAAGTTAGGCCAAATGGTCCATGATTATTTTCTTCTTGTACACTTATTTAGACTACAGGTATCAGCAGCAAGTTTTGATGTAAATCTATTAATTTTTCTGATGTAAATATTGTTGCAAAATATGGAGATTCATCTTCATTATTGCTTTTGTTTGTACCTGTAGTCTAAGGTTTTCTTTTTATTGTGGTAAAAAGGAAGCCTTGTTTTTAGCTTTATAAATATTTAGTCATATAAGGTAAGTATATATTGTAAATACAGAGAAGAACAGATGAAAATGGAAATAGAGCTCACACAATTTGCATGTATTATGATGTTTGATAACTGAAGTACATCTTGATTATCAGCCTGTTAAATTTTCAAATTGATGAAAAAGATTATTCAAATTTTTGTAACATTTATTGTATTGTTGAATATCAAAACCTTATTTAATTTGAGTATCTTAATTTGGCTGGATAATGAAGATAGTTGATGGAAATGCTTCTTTTATTTCAGAGTTTTCTTTCAGCTTCACACCCAAACACAAGATTTCAGAAGACATGTTACACCATACACCACACATATTTAACCAACACACCTTTAATTGGAATGATTGATAATATCATAGAAGAAAAAACAGCCTTGTGATAACTATTTCAGAAGAATCAATGGACTTGTGCAACTGAAATTCCCATTAATTTTCAAACTGTCTTGGTGTCGGCACTTTTATTTTAAGTATTTGCATTGTTGTTAGAAGAATATGCATAGCTGAAACTATTTGTATTATATATTTTGAAAGAATTAAGTGAAGTATATTTCTTTTTGTAGGCTTTTAAATATTAAGTCAAAGTTTGTAAAAAATCCTGTTTCTGTTTGTAACAGTTTTCAGCTATGCTATTCTTAACTTTGTTGTTCTTGTGTGAGCTCTATAAAACGGTAGGTGTAATTTTGTTTCATCCGCAAAATGACACTCAGATATGTAACATTAAGATTCAGATTTTCAAAGTATTAAGACTGAATTGCAGTAGTTGGAAATGATACCAATTTCACAGGGGAAAGCTATTAATAACTACGTATGCAAGTAGGATGGATCGACTAGGATGATTACATGCTTCCATTTGGGGAAAAATCTAGAATATGAAGCACATTTTATACAAGTCACTTGGTGTCGGTCAAGCATGGTAGGACTACGGACTACGTTTGGTAATTAAAACCTAGAACGGTGCAAAGGCTAATATTTTGCATTAAATAACTGCATTCAGGATTACAGTATTTGAAAATCTGAGCTTAATTCAATTCTAATCAAGTTCGATCGATCGTGAAAACTGAAACGTCCTCTATGAAACCTTGGTTTGATGTCGACGCGGTAAAAAAAAAAAGGGCTGTATTGGAAATATGTGCTTCTCGTTAGATTACATTTAAAATGCACCTATAGCCGAATAAATGTGCTGTCGTGTGATTTCCTTGGTTCCGCTTAAGATCTAGATCCATGACTAAGAATTTTTTGTGGCCTACAAGTACACCAACTATAGGCTACTTGAAGGTGATAGCCCGCACTTCCAGTATGAACGTCATATTACTTCTATCTGACCATTCGTTGCACCTTCTAGTTGATGACAACGAAGATAAAAAGTCAGCTGCTCTCAGTAGAATTAGGCCTATCCTTGGCAGTGGAAATCGGCTGCTAATCTTAAACCTATTCCACGTTTTAAGAGACCTATTATGCTCTTCAAATTGGTTATTTCTCCCTTCGCTAAAAGAAGTCGACACACATGGTAAATCTCGTGAATTCATCATGTGTACAGAATAATAAATAGGCTATATAATTAACGTTTGCTACGTAGGCTAAATCGTTCTGAAGGACTGAATAGAGCCCAATATTTCAAAATCCAGTTACAAAATTATAAATAATTTGTATGTAAAAATATTAAAACATAAGCATGTTTCATTTTGAAAGTATTTTGTCAAGAGACAATTCTCTTTTTTTCAAAAAAAAAATCCTTTCACATCGAAACGGAACAAGTTAATCCATGGACTTATTTTCAGTAAATTGTAGAGACATATTGCAAATTTGGAATGTACAATGTTAATATTAATAGTAGACCTAGGCTTAATTGCTTTTGTATCCAGAATCGGATTACGATTTTAATTTATCTATTTACCCAATAAGCTTGTTTCTTGTTAACCTTTTTCTTGCTTTTGAATAAACATATAGTGTGTCTGGTTTTGTTTTTATGTTGGAAGATTCTGTCCTTCACTAGATATGCTAGGTGCAACAAATCCTTTAATCTAATTTGTGCAGAATTTTTTCGACCAATCTGATTGACCGACCTTAAGGAAAGAGCACCTGACTGCTCTATAGTTCCATCTAATGTACGAGGGTGAGCTGAAATAGTCAAAAGCCGACTCGGAAGGAGTTCTGCCACAGAAATGAAACATGGTATACCTTAAATTCAACATTTCTGGATACTAAGTACTAACCCTCGATGTATTTGCCCAATAATGACAGGTGTTTGCTATTATTTCATTATTAGAATTCTATCATTATTACAGTTTTTTAGCAAACAAATATATGTCCATTTGTCTCTTTGGTATCACAATGCAATGACTGAGGGGAAGGACGAAATATTGGTATTTATTGATTGGCCCAGATTCTAAAGCTCGAAATAACAGCTCAGCTCAACAATTAACTATGTATTCAATATTTGGTATCACAATGCAATGACTGAGGGCGTGGCTGAAATTGTAGTATTTATTAATATTTATCAGATTGTAAACCTAGATAACCCACACGGCTCTGCTCAACAATTTTATGAAAAGATCATCATAAATATATAAAGATTTTTTCAAATATTTGTATTTTTGTACTATGTATAAAATCATGTATCATAGTGAAACTAGTTTGGCAAGTCTTTCTTGGGGTAAAAGTCTGTGCTTTACACACGCAAATATACAGTATGTAATAAGTAACTCTTATTATTTTTCATCATAATTTTATAAACTTGTAGACCATCAAAAGTAACCACAAAAGACGAAGGGTATCATATAATGAACATACAAAAACAAACCAGGAGGAATGTACACAATTATATTATATTATTCTACAAATTTTGTTTACAAACTGTAAATAAATCAACAACAATTTATGTTAATTAGATCGAGGTACAAAATATTTCTTTATATCAACACTAATTTACTTCGTAATACCAATTACTCCACAAGCTAATCTTGGACCTGCATTACCAGTTTTCAAGCTTTCATCATTTCCTCCTTTTCCCAAGTCATCAACTTTTTCATGAACCTTTAACACAAATTATAAATTTATGTCAACAAAATGAGTGGAAAAAAGACCTCTACAGATGTTTTCAACCCCAAGGTTAATAATGATGGTATTCTAATTGTGGAGGTTAATAAAGTCTTAGCTTTTCTTCTTGACTCATGTTACATTTTATAGGAATAAAATGATTTTAAACTTTCAATCTGGAAAGAAATGATTTAAACAATCTATGATGTACATGATGAGGAGTTTAGAGAGATTACTCACCACAACAGTTCTACCAATAATAGAATAAGGACCTGTTAATTTTAATTGTTTATCTGTAATAGTGAATTCAGCCACATTACCATCATTAGCTGTTACATTACCTAGATCACCAACATGTCTGAAAATAAATTAAACATCTGTGGTTACTGGTATTCTAATGAATCAATTTATACTCTTGAAATATGTTGGCACAGATGAGGTCTCCTCTACATGTTATCTCTCTATAAAATTTAAAGCAATATGTTTCTAATAAGCTTACAGAATAATCTTTGATATACTTACCTATCATCTGATGTGGGACCTCCATGAGTTTTACTAAATGGATTGTAATGACCACCAGCACTTATACAACCTACAATATATACATGTTTTCTATGGAGGTCAATTTGCGCCATTAATCCATGCTCTACTGATTTGTCTAATACACTGATTCAAAGACAAATGTAAAAAATATCTTATTACCTACTACTTATAATTCAAACAATGTCAGACATGCATGGCACCATTATTAAGCTTCACATCTAATCAGGGCATTAAGAAGGCGGTGACATTCGCCAATATGATTTAAGGCGAAACAAAAAAGAAACAATTTTGAAAACGATGGGCCTCCATAAAGCAGTCATTGTTTAAAAAAGAGAAGCTATGCTGAATATTCAAAAGGGTCATGACTTTAGTAATTTGCATTAAATATAATTCATTTGAGATAAAACAGAAGACATACAACACAAAAGATGTTTCACTTATCATTTTACTACAAACATTTTTCAATTTACTAATGACACTTTACAGTTGAAAATATACTTCTGGTTTATCATTTAAGATTTTTTGAAGATGCTAAATGAATTATCTGAATGGATTTTAGTTAAGTTACATGTGAATATAAATATTTGATTTTAACATTTCAATCATTATGTTATTTGAATTATAAGTAGTTGGTAATAAGATATTTTACATTGAATCAGTGTAAGACCAAATTGCTAAAACAAATTCTCTCAACGTGCATACCGCTTTTGACTTTTTTTTATTATTCACATTCACACATTCACACTGGAGGATATCTGGAAAAGGATGTTTACTCAATTTTCTTACAAAATGGACATATTATTTCCATTACACTTCTTCAAAAATGTAAGTAACTATCAGTAAGCATAACATGTTTTTGGCAGTATTTTTCTCTTCAGCCACTTAAAAAAAGGTGTATTGGCATAAATTTGTCAAAAATAGAATTTGTAGTAGATATTCAGATAGTATCAGCTACCTATATTAAAGGTATTCATGACATTAACAAAAGTAGATCACCAAATGTTACTGAATAAATAAAGCATGAATAATCATTAATTACCAAGAAGTAATTAATTAAAAAAAAGTGTGTATACCATTAGTATTATCACCAAGTTCATGGATATGAAAACCGTGCTCTCCTGGTTGTAATTTTTCTAATTTCCCTTTCACAACCACTTCTGCATCAGGTCCCTGAGAGAAAAGAATATATCTTAAAAATTATTAGGCAGTTTGGTACATTCAAAAACATGTTTATTACGATGAATACACATTGATTGTATTCTAAAAGAAAAAATATTATTCAAGAATGCTTACAGTGTGTAAAAATATAAGAATTTAAAAATTTGGATGAAAATACTATTTTTTTCATATGAATGTTTTTTTTTAAGATGTAGTTCAAAAAGACATCGGCACTGACGGTAGGTGCGAGTATCACGCAGTGATAAGACGCACCACAAATTTTTATCGTCATGGACATGTATGTATTTTCATATCGAAAAACTAGCCTGACAGGGTTATGCGTTTAACTATATTGGACTAATTCATACCTGTTGTGTAAAATGAACAACGCCTTCGCCAACTCCATCCTTGCCTTTCAAAACACAGACTGCTTTTATCTCGGACATTGTCGACCAATTTTGACCTACCAAGCAAGCGTAATGGGTATATTATCTCTTTGTACCGGTTAAATTTGCACACGATACTAAATACGTATTCAACAATGGTAATAAACTAGTATTCACCAATTTCCAGTCAGTAGGCTAGAATTATTGAAAAATTGAAAAGAGCCGTAGTTTTGAACACTTTTTAATCGAAACCACTTTTGTAGAATAAGAATGTGATTATAAACAGTTTTTAGGGCTAGTCTAAACATCGGAAATGTTACTACGGTATAATGAATAATAAAAATAAGTCAGAAGGGAATTTGTTTTAGTAATTTGGTCTCCCAGACGACTCCCAGCTGCCATAATCATTTATCACAATTTAGGGTAAGCAATGATAATTTTTTTTCTTTTTTACAAAAGAAGGCATAGAACAATCTGGTTCTCAGATAGTATAAATTACGTTGACTTGTTAAACAAAATAGACCTCTATCAACAATCAAATGACGTTCATAAACTACATTACGTCACAGCTAGAATCATACAGTTAGCCTTGTAATCATAGCAAGGCTATTCAAGGTGGGCTACAACTACAGACCAAGTACAGATCGATGCAGAATTTGTTGAAATGAGTGCTGTACTTCATAAACCGGGTAGAAAAGATTATCTCAGACCGTCAAAAACATTACAAGATCTCCGTGAAAAATTAGGTAAGGTCTTCATTGATGCCAAGATAATAGAATGTCCTCAAAATGCATTTGAATTAGCAAGACTTCAGAAGAAGATAGAAGAACTTGAAAAACAGAGGTATCGCCACCTTGAAGAAGTTAATCGAGAACAGAGAATCTTATATAACTCCCTATCCTCTAATTATCTTAATCCGTCGTCAGTCTCCTCACTCAGCGATCCAATAGTTTTCGAGATGGTTGACAGCATGCTTCCTCCACCAGGATTCAGATTTCATTCCAATGGTAATCCCAAACTGGATTACCTACCTAAATTCGACAATACTTCTAGCACGGCTAAAAATGTTGCTGGTGCTCCTATTGACAGCAGTCCAATGGTTCCGATATCAAACACAGAAACTTTTCAGCATAACTCAAGACCCGAATCGCCAAATATAAAATATGGTGATAATTTTTCCAGCACAAGATCGTCTCCAATGCCGCCATCTACACCACTGAACGAGAGAAAGCAAACTCAGACACCTAGTATCACTTACAATGATGTAGATTATGAGCAAGAAATTCAAAATCTTGAAAAGATAATCAAGCAATTGCAAAAGGATATGACAGTTAAACGAGCATCAGATTCGACAAATACGAAAAGCGTCAAACAGAAACATAATTATCTCAGAGCACATTCCCGAACTGATGAAGCTGAGAAAAGTCGATTTAAATATGCACCCAATCCCATTTTATATCGGCCACCCAACACAACAGAAGGCAAAAGCGAACGCAGATCTGGTTCCCACAGATCTAAATGTCATGCTTGTCAAATGAAATTGAAGCATTTTTACAACGATGAGAAGATAAACATACGAAAAGGAGCCCAGAATATGAGAGCAAGATGGAACTTGGCACCGAGCGGAACGTACGTACAATCTCCAAGTTCTGTTTCAGCATCTACTCGTATTAAATCAGCACCTTTATCTAATCTCAACTACAAGAGATATGTGGACAACCCGGAATCTGAAGTCATCTTAAAAACCTATATGATAGATCACACTCTTACACCTCAATCCGCTCCTAATTTAAGAGCAACATCCGCAAAGTGTCGTACTCCATCACCAAGCCAAGGCTTCTCATCATTAGGTTTCCGTTCAGCTTTTCAGATCAAACGGTTTTCATCTCCAACTGAACGTGAAAGTAAATTGCAAGCTTTCAAATCTCGAGCTGTAAGTATAATATATTTTGTGCGTCTGACCTCTTGCAAATGCATGTGCAAAAAAAAAACTTTTTAAAGATTGTCAAACATATTGACACGGCGACAAAGATATATGCTCGTATATCTATTTTCCATCGTCACTGTACTATGGTTCACTTGGTCAATATCATTTCATATGAGGCGGTGAAATTTAAAACAATCTCTTGATGTTTTGAAGAGACGGTGGTAGGCTAAAATGATTGTCAGGTTCAGAATAACATAGATCTGTTTTATTTTTCAGCAAATTGAGAATATTGAAGCAATGCAAAAGGTTGAGGTATTTCTTCGCAAATTAAAGGATACCAATTTAAAACATAAACAAGAAGTGGAAAGCAAGCAGTATTTTTTCCTAAACGAATCACCATATCGAAAAGCAGTGGTAGCATCTTGAAATCAAACAGTGTATTTCAAATATATAAAGGGAGGGACTAAAAGACAATATATAATAAAAGTTAATGAATAAAGCCTAATCCTTTTTTCAGACTCAATATTGAAGTAAGTTTGGTATGGTGTTGGTAGACTACATACGAAACTACGTATTCTCGCACGGAAAAAACACACACGAACGAAGATCACAGCCATTTTGAATCTCTCGCAAAATCCAAGTCGAATTTTGAAAAAGGCTTAATATATTTCAACTATGCTTTCATATCACATTTTTAGTTTTAGAAATGGCTGATTTGAAAGATTTCTGAAATATAACAGCCTTTTTAAAAATTCAACTTTTTCAGTTGAGGTATAGAGATTCAAAATAACTGTGAAGTACGTTCGTGTGTGTTATTTCCTTGTAAGAATCATAGGTAATTTCGTATGGGGTTGGGTTTTCATTTCCAATCAAACAGACAACATAATGCTAGGTCTATTACTTTCCACCTGATATTAATTAAATTTGGTATGCTATATATGTAGATTGATTGATTATATATACATGTATAGTATTTCATAGAATTCGTGTATTTAGGATTTGATAACAACCCCTTTTGTAACACTTCTTTTGGTAAGTAGGTAGGTAGATGACAAGTTAACGCTCGCTTCCAGCGGATGCTGATATCGCAAACGAGGTAGTAGTTGGTAGTCGTAGTAGTTGGTAGTTGGAATGACGGAATCACTGACGTGGGTGGCGAACTCATTGACGGAGTGACGAACTCACTGACGGAGTGACGGGTGAGGTAGAATTAATTGGTTCAAATTGGATGATTCTGTGTTGTTGGTTTGGTTGTAGATCTGGTCGGGTCGAATGACATGGCGGTGAAACTCGGCCCTGGATGGTGTGGCGTGAGTTACTCGATCTCCTTCATTCTTCCAAACTCGTTCTGATCATGGTATTTCTGGTTGATTGGTAGTCGAATGGTAGTCGTTGGAAAACTAGAAGACCTGAAAAAAAAATGAAAAGAAAAAGGAAGTGAGAAAAGAGGGAGGAAAAAAATAAAAGGGGGGGGGGGGGATCTTTCAACAAAAGGGGGAAAGATTTTCTCTGATGTTTCTGCAATGAAACTTGTTAAATTGATTGGATATAATTAAAAAGTGTTAAGAGTATAAAAACTTAGTCTATCTGTTCAAGACAGATTTGGTTATAAAATGGAAGACTAGTTACATTATCGTATACCAGTGGTCCGTCTTTGGTTTTTATACGCCCACATGGAAATGTGATATATATATCATTAATTTCAAACTAATAAAATTTCTTTGATATGAGAAAATTTGTACTTTAGACTGTTTTATCATTTCCGACAACTGCCAGTTGGCGTATATTACCTTGCCTGGCAAGCTATCTTTTAATTGATAGGCGGAAGTGACGTTAAGTTAACTTTCCAGGCCACTTCCATCCCAATGTATATATATATACAATAATATTTATCCCTTTTTGAATTTATTACAGGAAAACCACTCGCAGAAATATTCGGAAAAATGAAAGGAAATATGATCTACAAACTTATACAGTTATAATTCCATTTCGACTATTTTCAAAATATTTTTACAAAAATATGGACCGGAAAGGTCAATTTAAAATATATTTTCGACGTATTGGAAAACTGACCAGCAAGGCAACTAAAAAATTTACTAAGGTTTACCAAGTTTTAGGAATATCCACTATGACAGGTATTCCAAATTCCAATCATGCTCATAAATTCTGTTTCGAAAGTTAATCGCTATGAAACCGCTGAAATTACAACGGGGGAACTTCGGTAAACTTTTTTTTGTAAACTGCGACGTAACAACAATCTTACATCAGAAGAAAGTCAACAACCACAGTTGAGATATCGCAAACCAAACACATTGAATATGTATTAAACTATATACACTCTGATTCTATTATTGGTGAAACTGTCTGCGTTCCTATTTAAGATTGCGGTTGTTTTAATTATTAAAGACGGATACGTTCATCGAACAAACTACGCTGTTGGATGTAAACAGAGTAAGTGGCCTATAAGTATATTATACTACACGTTTATCATTTTCTCTGAAAGAAGGCGAAATTAGATTTCGGGGAATAGTTTCACTTTTTTTTTCTATTTTGTATTTACCAACAAGCGAGTATTGACCCCATTGGTCTATATATAAATAATGGCCAGGAATTCGGTACAAAATTGAAAGGGTATAGAGGCATATCAACAACAATTAAGTTTATAATGCCATTACAAGAGACGGTAGGAAATCTAATTTTGTTTATCACAAAACGCCTATTTTTTTACGCGAAGGCTTTATACTGTCTTCGTAAGTTCGTTGTAAATCGAATTTGATCCTTTATGTTGAGAAGAATTGGAATATCTAATAATGTACAGTCAGTCTTAATTGGACTTTGCGTTGATAAAAATATATTTAATTATCAATTTAACAGATGGTAATTTTGTCAAAATTTGGGACATTTTCGGTTTACATTACTGCGAGGAGAGTGTGTCATTCGAGTAGGCCTACCAGTACTGCTTAAAATTAATTTAACTAATCTCTCCTCCCGAGTCGGAAGAATGATAATGGATTGAAAGGCAAACGTCCTGATCTGTCTGTCGTTTGAACTGCCATTATAAAACGCACTTATTTGTGAGAATGAGATCCAAGATCCGGATTTACTGTGTTTAAACTGGTATCATTTTCACCTTTATTTTAGGAAATAGGAAAATAAATTCCTAATTTGAGATATTTTTGAAGGAATTATGTGATATTCGTACATATTTAGTATTTCTGAAGTATATTTTCATACATTCGAGACTTCCAATCGTACCACAAAAATGGCGCATCTGTCCCTTTCATTCTGAAAAATAATTCGGACAGCTGAAAATGATCTATATAGGATGGGAAGCAAATACTTAGATAATCATTAATTTAAAATTTAAAAGAGTAATTACACAGGGTAAGTTCGTGAAATTGGCTTTTTAATACATATAAATATTCAAATTGTAGAAAATGTTCAAAGGACAACAAAAGACCTGGGCTAATTGCTTATGGGTTAAAATAAGTGAAATAACTATTTCAACTTTCTTTCAAATTAACAATGCAGTTTTGATTTCACTGATATTGGACAAGCTTAGGTAAGAGTGGTTGTAACAACAACATATAATTGAAGTTACGACGAAAGCGCAGACAGAGGTTAAAATTCAGCTACATCAACGTGATTTTTATAAAGTAATGAAATTAAATTATAAATTAGATTATAAAATAAATTATAAAGTATATTAGGACAATTGTTAAAACGCATTAATTGGTTTTATGCGTGATATGTCTATAAATAGATGGTAGGCATTTAGGATGTCCCGTAACGTAAGCACAAGGTTTTATATAGCCAAAATTTATAGCCTGTTACATATTAGGAAGCAATATTTTTATCATAGAGTTTACTTAACATATCAATGTGTCACTTATCGTATGTTAAGGGATTTAACTTAAGTCACTTCGAATCATATATTGATCTACAAAGATTGCCAGTATTATATTATATCAGTAAATATTCAAGATAAGGAATAATAATAGCCATTTTGAATCTGAAAAATAACTTTTTGAATCGGATTATGCCCCTTTATACGTATTGAAATGACGTTTTAACGTAAGTATACAGATAAATTATAATTATTTCAGATCCCTCCACCTATACAATGTATCTATTCACATTCAGGCATTCAGGCTATGCAGTTGGCATTTAGTAAAAGCCACATTTATGTTTTTTATAAATCCTCTTAGTGTTTGAAAATAGGGGAATAAAGAACGATAAAGCATTCCACAACACATTGTGTATGTCTGCCTTTATTTGGTGTTTAAATTGTCGTAGACTTTACCAAATTTACTGGTTATACCTGTTATACCTGTTCTTCGGTCTATTAGTAAGCACTACGGCTTCTTGACCACCTTAGTGAATTTCTAATGAGACTTCCACTTGTCTAAAAAGTGTCTGAATCTACAATGGTCGATATCGTAAAGGGTTTGTAAAAAGGTTTTCTCTTTTTTTTATGTATATGGGGTACACTGATAAAGCGCCTTATGTGATAAAGCATATTTTACGATTTGTGACATAATCAAACACTTAGTTTTAGTTATAGGTGTTAAGTGGAATAACAGGAACCAGAGACAATTGGAATGGTACAAATTGATGCCCCAGATACACAAAAATTTTTCAGAAAATTCTCTTTACAATCCCTTTAAATCAACCGTTGTATTTTCTCTTGATAAAATTTTGTTTTAAAAAAGCATGGTAGCTTTAATAGTTTACAAGATTATACCAGGAAGTAGAATTGTGGGATATTATAGTTGAAAGTAAAACAAAATAAATATAGGATACAGTGAACTAGGCTTCTAATAGTTGAGTTCAAAATCGGAGCATATTTGAGAGGAATATGGCTTTGTCTGTTCTTGCATATAATGGCCGAAGATGATTTCTTCATTGCTGGGTCCAATTTTGAAGCTGTCGGGTTGAAAAGTGGCCGAATTCAAAATCTATTTGGAGTGGAAATCTGTGTTACTTTTGAAGATGTATTGGAAGGCCGTTACGATAATGCGAAAGTACACTTCAAATCCTCTAATAATTCGGCGAAAGCTAAAGCGCAAGTATGTTTATTATAATGTTATTACAAAAAAGATCTTACGAAAGCTTGATATTTCAAAAGTGATTATACTCCTAGGTTATTGTTTATTACTCCATCGTTTGAACAATTTTCAGGACCTTAAAAGTTAAATTAAGAAACAAGTGGACCTTAGACCCTTAGTTTCTGTCCTCTGTGTGTATTCTTTTCAAATTTTGTGGAAAGTAACTTGGTAAGCTTATATCCTAGTATTTAAAGGGATTTTAAAGAGGTTTCTAAAATTTATAGTGATTAGGGGACACCGATAGCATCAATTTGCACCATTCCCATTTTCAATCGTCATCAGTGGTTCTGCGATTCCACTTAAACTAAGCGTTCGACA